TAACTTATGTTGCAACTTGAGTCCTGGCGACTTGAGTACTACTTAGATGCAAATTTGAAGCGACTTTCATGCCATGCGACTTTGCCTGTGGCCAATGAGAATGTAATGTCCTGTAATGTCGGATCCAAATCACATTAATATAGATGAGGATACAACTTGGAGGCAACTTCCATTAAAGTCTATGGGCACATGACGGATAGAAGTCACCAAAGTAATACAGGAACCTTTTCTGAAGTTGGAGCAACTTCAGTGGTGTTAATTAAGACTGCTCTCATTGACTAACATGGGATTTCACATGTCATGCGATTTGGGGTCTCACAAGTCGGATCCCAAATCGCTGCAGGTTGAATCGAGCCTTAGTCATTGTCTTTGTAAATAAAACGAAGTTTCATTAACAACAACAATTTTGCTTTTTGACAAACAGAAGTGCAACCTTAAAATATAAAAACGAAAAACTGTAAACTCTGTTAGCGGTAATAGAATTGCACATATTAACTGATTATATCACCAACATTCAATATTAAGCAAAAAAAAACAAAAAAAGAAAAGCCTTTTTCTGCAATTTCTTTTTCTTTCAGCTGTTTAGTACAGTGTAGATACCTCCTACTTATTCTTATGTGGTAGTGTAGTGTTTATTTTGATGTCAAATTTCGATTTAGTTTTAGTCATAGTCTTTTTGACTAAAATTAAATTTTAGTTTTAGTCGGATTTTTGTCATGTGAATTATTTTAGTTGTATTTTAGTCATCTGAATTGTTTTAGTTGTATTTTAGTCATCTGAATTGTTTTAGTTGTATTTTAGTCATCTGAATTGTTTTAGTTGACTAAAATGCATTTTAGCAGTGTTAATTTAGCCAATGAAAATAACACCGCTCACCAGTTCCTTTGGAGGGATTGTCCATCTTTTGGAACCATATCTCTCTGTCCCTCGTTCCTCCTCAAATGTCTTTTTTGGCCTGAAGTATAGACCTCTATAAAGATATATTGTTTAACGTGTTATACTACCCTAAACTTTTCAACCAACACCAATGCATTTGCTATTTTGAAACCAGGATTAAGTAGTGTTGAAAAAACACCTGTGGATATAACCAATCCAGGGGCGGACTGACCATTTGGAAACTCGGGCACTGCCGGAGGGCCCGGGGTCAGTAGGGGGCCCCATGAGATGCCCCTGGTACCTTTTCCATAGGCTTTTTTGAGTTTGGGCAAGGACACAGGGGCCCCATGATCCCCTATTGCCCAGGGGCCCCATGGGTTGTCAGTCCGCCCCTGAACCAATCTTTTTGTTTGGCCTACGTTTGCATACCAGTTCTCGGTCAAAGAGTCAAAACGTATTTGATATTTATGTGTTCTGCCACAAGAGCCATTTCCTGCTGCAGACCCAAACATTTGATGTAAAGAAACAAAGAGCAGACTCCGATCTGACTTGTCATGGTACAAGTATATTACTGAAGGGATGTTTAAACAGAGTTGTTCTTTCATGTATGGGGGCGTAGATGTCGGTTCAGATCCACAGCACATTTTCTGAATCATAAAACAAAATTCCTTGCGGTAGAAAAGTCTGGGATTATCCACTTTTTAGCTCCAGAAGGTTTTACCCCCTTCATGACCAGGCCTAGCACCACCTAGCACAGTGGTACTTTATCTGGTAATTGCACGGTCATGCAATACTGTACCCAAATGAATTTTATATCAATTTTTCAGTCAAATAGTTTTATTTTGGCGTTATTTGATGAAAACAGAGTTTTTAATTTTATATAAATGTAGCCAGGGGTGTATTTACCACAAGGCAAACAAGGCATTTGCCTAGGGTGGCATTTTTCAGGGGGGACACACATGGCATGAGGACCTGGTGGGTTCCAAAAGATGCTGTGGGTTCCATGACAGTGTATGCACAGTCCAACTCTCGTTCCTGGGGATGTCCGGAGTTGTGAAGGAGAGTGTCTTTCTCTCTCTCCCCATGGGGAATGGTGGGTGGTGTATGGGGGCCAGTGGTAATGGAAGGCTTGGGTGGAGGGCAGGGGTGCTCTTGGTCAATGTCAGGCTCCTTCTGTGGGGGTGCCAATTTTTGTGTTGCCTAGTGCAGCACAAAACCTACATACACCACTGAATGTAGCGCTCTCCTCTTGAGTGCTGCTGTTTTTTGGTCCCCCCTAATTTTCCGCACAGCCAGGCAACATGTATTTTCCACTCTTGCATCCAAAGTCAGTAAACAGTCCATGAACTTGGTTTTGTTGTTTTAGGAAGGGTTAACAATTTGGATGGGGTCTAGGGGTAATTGGGATGCCCAATGGAACCGAAACAACTTGGAGGACAAACTTTCTATGTACATACAGTAAAAAGCAGAAAACTTTGGTCAGCACACAGTCTTTTCCTGGGAGCACTTAGTCCCCTTACATTAACCTTCTTCAGACCCCACATGAAAATCTCCCCATCCACCTGCCTGTTGGGAAGAGTATCCCAGGGCAAGGGATTCTGAGACACATAGGAATGCTGTCCCAGAGAGAATAAGCTGAGTATTGCACCTGACCGCCTTCTCCCTTTTTTGGCCCAGGGGGTGTAGAGGTACTCACACTGTCCTGTTCCTGCAGCTTTAAAAGGTGAAGCTGCTTTCAGACCTTACGCTGAGATGGCTTCTTCCCTGCTGACAGGCTGTCCTTCCTTGTATACTCTGGAACAGTGGGGGTCCTTCTTTCCAGCTCCCAGACTGTAGGTGGACCCTCCCAGGCTCCACACCAGCAGCACTTCCTCACTCCACCTTCCACCCGACTCCCCTGCTGGCCAGGCTCTCTCATATTTATGGGCTGATCTGCCACACTGCCAGGTCTCCTGCCTGGGATTGGTCAGACTTCCATAAATATGCAGATCAGCCCCTCATCACCTCTGCCCGTTGGCTTCTAGAAACTTCTTCAAGTCTATAGAGCAGGGGGAGGTAACAGAGGACTGACCTGTAGAGCCCTCCAACTCTAACCTGAAGTAACCTTGCTGACTCACTCCCAGGCTTCTAGCAAGCCTCTGACTGTACACAAAAAAAAATCTACACTGGAGGGCTTTACATAAATGAAAACGAGAGACAGAATATTTTGGAAAAAAAAAATATTTTCTACTTTCTGTTATGAAACATATCCAATAAAATCAAAATGATTCATAAATTTAGGCCAAAATGTATTCTGTTACATGTCGCAAGTGCTGGCAGTGATCAGAGGCTGATCTTGATAACGCTGCGTTTTTGGGGACACTATACTATTGAGACACTAGTATAGTTCTGATTGTGATCCATACAGACACTATACTAGCAATGGTGGTGATCAGTGACTTATTGTGTGGCAGGCAATCTGTCGCAAATTAATACTGTCTGGGAAAGACACCGACTAACTGGGGTCAACCAAAACCTGGAGTTGGGGGGATTAGAAGTTTACTTATACTTTATTAACTCTTGTTTACAACCAGCAAGAACAGGGCACTTCAGAGAAATTGCTGGCAATCTAGGTAGGTGGGTGCTTACCTATAGGTCTGTATTCCTGTGACACAGCTAATTACAGAGACTTGAGGATGTCCTTTAGGTACCTTTTACAAAGGCTAGCTAATGATGCATACAAAGATTTGTATGCTATTAAAGAAGAAAGATCAGTAAAATATAGGCTGTGCCATGGACGAGCAGATCCACATGGTGCTGCCATTTTTAGGAAAAAATCTTAGCCTTATGGTTTCATTCCTAATAAAAATTTGGCAAAAAGTCCCATTTTTACTGGCCAGGATATTTAAATAGCAGCCTGTGGCAACCCTATGTCTACACTGACTTTGAGCCTTTAAAGAGTATTTCTAAGCCATCCATTCTCAACCAAAGTTCCATGGGACATTAGGGTTCCTCCAGAGGTTTCTAGGGGTTCCTTCAGCTGTGGCTGATTGACTTCTCATCTGTTCTGGTTCCAATGCCATATAAAAGAGCCAGTGGTATAGCACCTATGATCTTCATGGCTTCTGATCTGAGGGTCTGTCTAAGGGGTATTCTCCCTACTGGTCGCCAATGTAAGAGGCATTATTTTTAGGTGAATTTATTTTAGCCGCGATTCTGAGACAGAAAATTACTTTAAGGGTTCCTTTGGGGTACAAAGGTTGAAAATGACAGTTCTATGCATTACCCACAATGCATAATGTGCTCCCAGTATGCAAAAGAGATGCGACTACTAGAGAGAGTGTGGGTAGTACATTACGTACTCCCAACATGCAAAATAGATGCAGCCAGTAGAGGGAGTCTAAGTAACCCCTTCCCGCTGCTTCCTCCCTGCCCTTTAAGAGGCTCTAAATGCCGGGAGGCAGAGGCGAGTATTCCGATCATGTGACCATTGTGATTCGGCTGTCACAGCGGTCACATGATTGGAAAACTCCCGATTGCAAGTAGCCATTGGGAGCGCTCCGGTACCTGCTGGTAACTGTGCAGTGCATGTGCTCTCAGCACAGAAATGTTTACATTTGGGACGCATATATGTGGCCTCTCTCATATATGAAGTTAAAGTGTTACTAAACCCACAACAGTAAAATCAGTCTGCAGTGAAGCATGCTTGATATACTCACTGTGGAACCTAAAAGGTTAATCCTCTGCATTGTGTAAAAAGGTTGTTTGATTTTGACTTATTTGATCCTCCCCTTCTTCCAGTGCCCCCCTTTTATCTCCTGATAATACATATCGTGTGGAGTCGCACTGCACATACTCAGTTTAGTGTGTATTGCTATAGAGATTTGTTTCCTTTGGGAGGGTGCATGTGATCAGCAAAGGGCCAGTCACTGCTTTTCATACAGAGGGTCAGGGGTCATGCAGCCTCATAGGACAGTCAGAGCAGAATTAAAACTCGTCCTACTAGCTTTAACAGGTGCTCAGCTGGACACTTTTGGAAGTCACAGGACTGCTGTATACTACTGATGAGAAAAGGTATTTTAGCAGTTTATATTTACTAAAATAATTTGATTTCCATGTTCTGTGTACTGTGGGAGACCAGATATAGTGAATGCAGGGTCCAAGGAGACCATATATAGTGAATGCAGGGTCCAAGGAGACCAGATATAGGGAATGCAGGGTCCTGGGAGAGCAGATCTGGTGAATGCAGGGTCCGGGGAGAGCAGATATAGTAAATGCAGTGTCCTGGGTTTAGGAACACTTTAATAAGGTTAAGGCAACATATAAGAGGTTAATATATGATGTACTCCCAATAAGCAGTATAAATGCAACCACTAGGGGGTAGTGTGATTAACCTTTACCTGCCCGCCTATGGCCAGATGGCGGCTGGCAAAATTCCTCAGCGTTCTGGGTGGACGCCAATTGATGGCTTCTTTCATGACATCCATTGTATACTAGTGTGCCTAGCTGTGAATGGTCACAGCGATCACATGCACAAGCTGGGCCAATCACAGCCCAGCTGTGTCATGTGATTAGCCATGGCCAAATCACAGCTAAGCACAAAAAAAAAAAAAAAAAAAAGCCTTGAATGAATCAATGTCATTCAGGTAAATGCTTGCTTATAGCAAAGTAAATCTTTCTATAAGCAAATTGGGCAAAAAAAAAAAAAAAAATACTGATCTCTTCCCCAATGTAGTACAATATTACTATGGTAACATTGTACTACTTTGGTCATAGTGAAATATGATAAAAAGAAATCTTAAAAAAAATAAAAAAATGAAATAAAAAATAAGTTGTTTTTTTTTCTTCATACTGTCACCAGTCAGTGTCCCTGATCACCGCCATGCCAGTTATATGACACTGTACTGCACTGGTGACGTATGTAAAAAAAAATAGTGACATTTTTTAAAATTTTTTCATTTCCCGAAAAATTCTGACAAAAACAATACAACTTCAAAAAACTCGCCATGCCTCTTATGAAGTACGTCGGACTGCCTACTTTGTTAAAAGGGGTCATTTGGGGGATTATCTGTACTGTTCTGACATTCTTGGACCTCAAGAAATTAGATTGGCTGTCAGAACTTCAGAATTGATCAATATTCAGATCTATACCATAGTTTGTGAACTCTATAACTTTCCTACAAACTAAATAATACATCCTAATTTGGGTTATTTTCACCAAAGACATGTAGCAGAATACATCTCGGCCTAAATTTATGAGGAACAATTATTTATTTGCAAACTTTTAACAAAAACAAAAGGTTTTTTTTTAAAAAAATTTCTGTCTTTTTTTGTTGATTTAGCAAAAAATAAAAACCCCAGTGTTTATTAAATACTACCAAAAGAAAGCTCTAGTTGTGTGAAGAAAATGATAAAATTTTAGTTTGGGCACAGTGTTGTACGACCGCGCAATTGTCATTCAAAGTGTGAGAGCGCTAAAACCTGAAAAATAGCCTGAGGGAAAGGGGTAAAAGTGCCCGGTATGGAAATGGTTAATACAAGATGTGCTATTTAACATGCAATATAGATGTGACCAGTAGAGGCAGTGTGGGTAACACATGATATACTCCCTATATAGGTAGAGTGCCCTGTGTGCTCCTGATGACATCACGTGACGAAACGCGTTGGTTGATATAAAGGGGTCTGCTAACCTTGGATTTGTGATATGGGAGTTCTTCTAGTTGTGCAGCACTTGACAGACATTTACCGCAGGATGTTCATCCTGAGTGCCGGGTTTAGCACTTGCTTTGAGTACAATTTTGTTTTTTTGAAATACAAAAATGTTTGTGCTGTGTCTTTAAATATGAAATTACATTCAACTAAACCTATAATAACAATGAGATATGCTGAGCAGGCTGTAGCGGGACCACGCTGGTGTTCCCCGTGGTTCCTGGTCCCTGCACAGGATCGTTGGACGGGCTCTCTGGCATTCAAGAGCGTTCTAGACATCTTCTACTTTTTGGCTCAAAACATCAAACAGCACCACAGATGTTTGTCCATTAATTGATTGAAAAATGAAGGAACTGTCCAAATGACAGATTTTTTTGTATGGGCACTAGGGATGTACCAGTTTTTTTGATCTGTGAGTAGTACTGATACTCTTGGTCAAATACTCGCTGATACCAATTATTGATAGTCACTTCCTCTTTGGGACAGGAAATGAAGGAAAATCTCCACAATGGGGACACATTGGACAAAGAACCCCGACAGTCCTCCCTGACTGCATCCAAAACTGACCAAATAAAGGGTTGGCCTGTGAGGTCACACACGGAGGACTCTGCACTGCTCATAGTATTCATACGGTCTGGACCGGTGTACTCCGAGGGCTCCGGACAGCACGCTCCTTCGTGGTGTGAGGGAGGGGGAGTACACAGGGGAGGGGATCCTACCGACCACCCGCCCACCAAATACAGTGTGAGGGGGAGGAAGCCGCGACTCTGTCCTGTTGTCTGCTGTTAATAAAGTTTGTTGATACCGCATCCCGGAAGCTGTCTGAAGGACCACGTGGGAGCTGAGTGGTGTGTATGGAGTGCGCTGTGTGTACAGACCGGGGATCTACACTGACCGCTCTCCTCATCTCCAAGACTGGCGGTGACTGAAGGAGACCGATCCCCGATCTGACCTGTCTGTATGATCGCAGGGTCGGGCTGGGAGCGGGTCACACTACACACACTGAGGAGGGGAGTGAGGAAGGGGCTCTGATAGGGTTTATTGTCTGTCCCTTCTACTCTGCCCTCCTCCCATTCCCTGCCCCTCCTACTCTCCTCCCCCACCCCCTACTCTCCTCCCATTGCCCACCCCTGCCCCCTACTCTCCTCCCATTCCCCACCCCTCCTACTCTCCTCCCATTCCCCACCCCTCCTACTCCTCTCCTCCCATTCCCCACCCCCTGCCCCTCCTACTCCCCTCCCATTCCCTGCCCCTCCTCTCATTCACCACCCCCTGGCCTTCCTACTCTTCAACCATTCCCCGCTTCCCTGCCCCTCCTACGTTCCCCTCCCATTCCCCCACCCCCCACCCCTGCCCTTTTTAATCTCTCATTCCCTGCCCTTGACCCCCCACTCTCCTCTCATTCCCTTCCCTGACCCCCCCACTCCCTCTCCCTCCTAGTCTCTTCTCTCATTCCCCACCCCTCCTACTCTTTTATCATTGCCACTTCTGCTCTCCTACCATTCCCCACCTCTGCCCCTCCTCTGAGCCTCCTGTTCTCCTCCCACTTTTCTGCCCCCTCCTGCTCTTCTCCCACTTTTCTGCCCCTCCTGCTCTTCTCTCCCCCCACTTTTCTGCCCCTCCTGCTTTCCCACTTTCTGCCCCTCTCCCACTCTCCACCCCTGCCCCTCTCCCACTCTCCACCCCTGCCCCTGCTACTACTGCCCCCCTCCCACTCTCTCCCCCTGCCCCCCCCACCTCCCCCATCATTGCCCCTCCTACACTCTCCTCCCATTCCCTGCCCCTCCTGCTCTCCTCCCCATTCCCCTGCCCTCCTGCTCTCCTCCCATCCCCACCTCCTGCCCCTCCTGCTCTCCTCCATTCCCCCACCACTGCCCCCCTCCTCTCTCCTCCCCATTTCCCACCTCCGCCCCTCCTGCTCTCCCATTCTCCCACCTCCCCCCTCCGCCCCTCCTGCTCTCCTCCCATTCCCCCTCCTCCCCCTCCTGTCTCCTCCCCCGCTTCTTCCCCCCTGCCCTCTCTTTCTCCCCATCCCCAGACCTCCCCTCCTCATACTCTCTTTTCCCATTCCCCACCCCTGCCCTCCTCTCTTCCCTTCCCCACCCCTACCCCTCATATTCACTTCCCATTCCCCCCCCCTCTACTCATCTCCCCTTTTTTTTTTTCTCCTATCACCTCCCCTTCCCTCCCACTTCCCCATTCACCCCTTGCTACTCTCCTCCCACTTCCCCCCTCCTACTTTCCTCCCCTTTCCCTTCCCCTCCCTTCTACCATCTCCTACCACATTCCCTCTCACCCTCCCTCCTACTCACCTCCCACTTCCCTTCCCACCCTTCTACCACACCACTTCCCTCCCCCTACTCATCTCCCCCTTTTTTTTTTCCCTATACTCCCTCCCACTCCCCTCACCCTCCCCCCTCCCACTTCCCCACCTCCTATTTCCCTTCCCTCCCCTTCCTCATCTCCCACATCCCTCCCCCTGCTCACCTCCCACTTCCCCTCCCACCCCTTCCTTTTCCCCACTCCTCCTCACCCCCTCCCACTTCCTTTTCCCTCCTCCTCACCTCCCACTTCCTTTTCCCTCCTCCTCACCTCCCACTTCCTTTTCCCTCCTCCTCACCTCCCACTTCCTTTTCCCTCCTCCTCACCTCCCACTTCCCGCCTCTCCTACTCCCCATTCCCCTGCCCTCCTACTTTCCTTCTATTCCCCTGCCCCTCCTCTCTTCCCACTTCCCCAACCTTCCTACTTCCCTACTCCCCTCCCATTCCCTGCCCATCCTGCTCTCCTCCCTGTCACCGACTTCCCTCCCAGACTTCCCTCCCACTTCCCCACACTCTACTCCCCTCCCATTCCCCTGCCCATCCTGCTCCCCTCCCATTTATCTGCCACTCATTTCCTATTCCCCTCCCCTTCTCCTTACCCTCCTTTCCTCTCCCTCCCCTTCCTCACCTGTCCTACTACCGACTGCTCTACCTTTCTTACCTTCCTCTTCCCTCCTCTCTTTTCCACTTCTACCACATGCCCCCCCTTCCTCTCCTTCCCTCCCCCACCTTCTCCCCATGCTATTTAACATTTACTCAATTTACTAGTAAAAAATCTCTTTATTGCTGTCTTTATCTTAGTTGGAGATATTCTCCTCACTTCCTGTTCCAGTGACCTAAAAGGAAGTGAAGGGAGATGACTCCAGCAGAGATACAGACCCCAATATAAACCTGGGAGAAGTCCCATGGGTGTCGTCGTGGTGGCAGCACTGTCAGGATTGCTCAAGACAGGACACAGAGTGATTTTCCTCCTTTAGCGCAGTATTTTCTGGATTACCTTGGGAGTTGACTGACTGACCACACTTGATGCCTGAAAGCTCTATTGAATTATCCTGTATTTTGTAGGTTTATTTTTGCGGCATTGATAACCTCTGATACTGGAAGCTGTGTGACCGTCTGAAGAAAATGGCCAAAGAAGAGAAAGAACCGAAAAGTAAACCGAAGAAGGTCAAGGTCAAAAAGCCGAAAATAGAGACAGAGTCGGTGTGAGTACACATCATTATAGGACAATAGGAGGTGATGGGTTCCATGTAGGGGCGGAGCCACACAGGTGCAGGTCAGGGCCTTTTTTTGTTCATTGTTGCTGGTCTAGTAGATTAACCACTTGTACTACCTGTATGTCGCTCCCTGCTTCTGGGTTCAGGACATGGGGGAGTTCAGGACACCCCGCTCTGCTGTGATAGGACACAGTGGGATTTTGTCCGAAGGTCCCGTCTGTCACGATCGCAAGATCGCCGCCACCAACATGCGACAATCTCACGACCGCGACCACCAATACGTCACGCCCACGGCGTCAGACCCCAGACCTTCTCACCAAACTCGTGACCGAAGGACCGGTTGATCTAAAACCGCGGTGTGACATGCGTAACAATGCCACACTCAGCTGCGCCCTGCACGATTGCCCAGCTAATGGAACGCAATCGACGCACCGGCAGCCTGAATGCGCTTGTTACCTGGTCGGGTTAATTACGCAACTAACCCTTCACTGCCACCACCCCTTTTTGTACAGAGAAAAGGGAAACTCTCTTTATCAAATATACACTGTAATGTTTGAAAAGTTGCCTGTCCAATACGGTCACTGCAGGCCGATTGGGCAGAGGATTAAACAAACACAGTAGCGTCTCTTCAAAAGTCAGGAATTCGTGAATTGCAAGTAAGCGCTTAGAAACAGTTTGACACTTTTAGTAATAAATCTTTTCTTTCTGAAAGTGTTAAACAGGTGCAATAAAATATTTACAAAGAAAATGTAACTAGATATAGATAGATAGATAGATACATACATATATATATATATATATATATACATATACATACATACATACATACATACATACATAGAAAACAGCAAAGAGATAACAGGGAGAAGTTAAAAGGTTAAGTTACTTGCCATGTTCAGCCTTAAGGTAAGCAGATCCAAGTTGCAGAGCGGAAAGGGTCTTTGATCTTCTGCTGTTACGATGTTAAAATTGGGAGATGTGTTTAGTTAACTTTTTAGGCTTGCCAGCCTGTCTCCTAAAAGTCCCCCTGCAGAGGGGGGGGGCTCTGAGTTCTGGCCAATACCCTGTTTTGGGCGGGGTCGTCGGATGGACTCTGCATTAAAACTGACAGCTTCATAATCCATGATATGAAACATAGGTGACAGCTGACCTGAGGAATGTTCATTTAACTTCTGTCACCTGGCTGGTAGGGTTTATGGGGTTCCAACTTCTTTCAAGTCCAGGGAAAAAACTACCTTATCTTGGTTAGGAGGTGTGAGTTTACACAGGCCTTGGGACAGAGAATCTGCTGTCTCTATGGGGGGGCTTTGTAGTGCTGGGCCCCCTGCTGCTCCAGCCTGCCAGCAACTTTTAACACACACACATCTGTCCCTGTGCCTCTCAGGAAGGGAGGGGGTAGAAAATAAAGGATTGAGGAATACTTCTAATAAAAAAGGGGAACTCCGTGTCCATCTTTGATGAGTAAGTTTGCTACACCGTCCAATGATTCATGGCTGAGACCTGCTGATCAGCTGTATCCAGTCACAGCTCAGAGCCCTGTGTGTGACAAACAACACAGGGCTCTGTATAGAGGGAATGATCTTTGTTTCTTCTCCAGAAGCACACATTAACACTTGTTAGGCACAGGCTTAGCCCCTTGTCTACTCCGGAAATGTTAACCCCTTCCAAGCCATTATCGTCATTACAGTGACTGTGTATATTATTAGCACTGATCACTCACTGTATTAGTGTCACTTGTGGTGTCAGTCTGTTCCCACTCAGTGTCAGTCCGATCACCTGCTGCACTATCACAGTCCCACTGTAAGTCGCTGATCACTGCCAATGCATTAAAAAAATAAATTGATAAATAAAAAGTTCCAGTATATATCCCATTGTTTGTAGACTCTATAGCAGGGGTCTCCAAACTCCGGCATCAGTGGGAGTAAACCATGCCCCATTTTTGGTGTTAGTGAGAGGAACTGAGCCTTATCGATGGTGTCATTGGGAGCAATTGTGCCCCATCATTGGTGTCATTGGGCCCCATTCTTGGTATCATTGGGATGAGCTGTGCCCCATCATTGGGAGAAAATTGTGCCCCATCATTGGTGTCATTGGCCCCCATTCTTGGTATCATTGGGATGAACTGTGCCTTGTCATTGGTGGGAATTGTGCCCCATTGTTTGTATCATTGGGAGGAATTCGTTGGTGTGAGTGAATAGTCCCAAGGCCCAGATAAAAGCAAGCAAAGGGCTGCAGTTTAGAGACCACTGTTCTATATTTTTCACAGAAACCAATCAATATAAACCTATTGAAAATTTTTTTTATCAAGGGCATGTAGCAGAATACATTTTGGCCTACATTTGTAAAGAAATGTGAATTTTTTTTTTTTTTTCTTAATTTTTTTTTTTATTGAATATGTTTATAGCAAAATGAAGCAGTTAAATGAAGCTGTTGATTTGCACTGTATGCTCAAAGCAGAGGTCTTCTTCCCACAGTTGACGTTACTCAGGGGCGGGGATGCTCATGATCTAATGTGGTCATATGACCATATTAGGCCAGTGGTGTCACAAGCATCCCCGCCCATGTGTAAAGTCAGATGCAGGGAAGGGAATCTCTGGTTATTCAGCTCCATGGACAAAGAATGACAGCTGCTTTCTGGGTTGAGCCCCAGGCACAGGTCCAAAAAAACACAAGTTGATCCCTACGTGTGGCAGCTTGTAATGGTGGGCCAGTAGCAATCTCTGATACGGCAAGGAAATGCCAAAGCTTTGTAGTCAGAAGGTCCCGGGCTGTACCAGGGCTCAGAGGATGCTGCAGGAATGTGCCTTCACCTTATACCTGAAAGCAGCTGCTCTTTTTGTAGCAGGCACTTTTTGTAATTGAAATGCTTTGTGTATCCTGGAGACATCGTCCTTTTTGCTATTGCTTTTTCTTGCAGTGGTGAAGCAAAAAATCCTGGAAGTGGCACCCGGAGCTGGGAACTATGTTGCCGGAGAAGTTGCAGGCAGCTTGTTCCCCAAGAAATCTATCCAGAGTTCCACAGCGCTGTCCTCCCTCTTTGACACCAAGGTCTCCGCTGCACAGCCGCTATATGTTCCTGTTGTACCGGTAAATTACCATAATATTTACATTAAACTAATCGCTGGACACAAAAATTTTATGGAGATAAATTTCCTTGATAACTGCAAAGTATATGAATCTACATTTGTGTGCACCAAATGTCTCTGCAAACCCAGGTATTACTTTGTAAAAGTAGCAGTGACATCATCACTGTGCTGCACAATTACTGATGAAGGGGGACTTCTGAAACCCCAGAAAGGCACTAGCTACTTTCAGATATTTTATCTGGACTGTCATCTACAGGTGCTGTCTTCTTGCAACTAATTTTGAAGCATACTTCAGGTATGCCTGGGTTTGTGGCAGGCAATCTGAGGCGCAGGCAATGTCTGACTGACCGCATCCCTTGCTTGTGGGGAAAAGTGTAACATTTTTTGGGAGTCCTTGTTCTCCTTATGGTTGATTGGTCTGTTTGAAAGCAGTAGGTTCCCTTTTGGAGCCGATCCACAAGTTGCACACGCTCACCCTTCTTTCCAACCCCCAACATACCATATTTGTTGAGAGTGCGGAAAGGAAGTCATGTGTAAGCTCTGGACTTATGATTCTCTCCCCACCCTCCATGATGGCACTGGGCCAATACCTGAGCACCAGCACAGTCAGTTGGCTGAGCAATGTACCTATAGGTGCCCTGGGTATGTCACTCTGCTTGTGTTGTGGGAGCAAAGCGATTGGACCACTATAACATAACCTGTTGCTTTATCCTCCATTTGCACAGCCCAGGTTACCCTTAACCTCCCTAGTGGTCTGATTATGTCAGTATTTCTGTGCTCAAAGTGGTACATTGTTTTCAATGGAAATATGTTTTTTTTTTTATTGTAGGCCTGTAATTCTTAGCAATAACTCACTAAAATCTGTCCGAACAAGAGTCTAGTAAACATCCCGGGTATGATAAAGTTTGAAACCCGAAATCATCAATTCTAATATAATAAATAATCATAAAAAATAATATAATAATAATAATAATAATAAATTTAATTAAATAATATCAAACCAAAAACACTGAAATTTAAACAGAGCGCCAAGTTCGCACATCGCTGAGCTCAGTTGCAAAATCGTTTTCAGTGTCTGACGAATTTCCCCACGAATCATTATCACTCAATTCTGCAAGTAGTTCTAATTTACTATCGCTGTTCTCTAGCTGATCTAAAACTGCTTTTGACCTAAAGGGACGCTTTTTGGACGCCATGGACATTTCTCAGTTTCCAAGCAGAAAGAACAGTAAAAATGCAGGCAGGGCACAGGACAAAGCACTCAGGACAAAATGTATGTGAAATGGTTGGATACAGTAATGTTATACTATCAGATTTTAATGTATTGAGTGAAATTTTTGAAACGTATTTGAGTGAAATTTTTGAAATTCCCGCTGGTTCGGCCCCCCCCGTACGTCCCGGTGCTCACAGGGAATGGAAGACGGATGCCGGGATCGGCCGGAGGAGATGGCCGGGGAGTTTGCAGGGGAACATTGCGGGAGCCAAGGACAAGGTAAGTTCAAGAGGGATCCCAGAGCAACGCTGCAGTGTAATCCCGAATGTAGCCCGGGGTTACTGCTTCTGGTACTGAAAGTCAACCCCGAGCTACACTGGGGAATACCGCCAGGGAGGGTTAAAGAATATGTAGACCCAACATTTCCTATTCCTGATCTGTGCCGGCTGTACCATCTATTTGTATGAAAAAGTCTCCTGTCCTCTTTGCATTGCTTCTTTTGTGTGAAATCCCTGGTGTTCCTGCCAGTCCCTCTGCTTTTCTATCGAAAACTGACCAAACTAGGCATGAGAGCACAGCGTGATCATTTCCTTAGCTGTACTGGGAACTCTGCCTCCTCTCCTCCAATAATCAGTCTTGTCCTGACAGCCTACTCCCTGCACAGCCATTCACTGAGAAGATAAGTGTACTGCTGTTTCTCCTCCCACAGCTTTCTGAGCTGCTTATGCAGCTGAGAACAGAGGGTATGTGATCACTTGGAAAAAAGGGGAAAAAAGGTATTTATAACATATATATATACACAAATGTATTTCCTTTCATTTCTCTTTTAAACTGGATAGGTTGTTTTACAAGGTGAGTGTTCACATATACTTTAACCACTTGCCGCCCTGCCACTGTAGAAATACGGCGGCAGGGCAGCACGGGCAGGCAAAACCATGTTTTAAAACGTGTGTTTTGTAAACCGATAGGGGGGGCGCGCCACCGCCCTATCTGTCCCGCCGATCACCGCCGCCGCGATGTCAGTCGCCGGGTCACAGCTGGTCCTTACCGGCTGTTTTCCGGCGATCGGCAGCAAACAGTGACAGACAGCACAGCTGAAGTAGCTGTGCTGTCTGTCACTTCCCTGACAGCTCGAGGACGAGCTGATCGAGAAAGAAGAGTTGCTCTCTCTCGATTAGAGGTGTCCTGTGCAGCACACACCCCCGCCCCCTAGTAAAACACTCCCCCTCACACAGATAACCCTTCCCTGCAAAATAAAGTTAACCCCTTCCTCCCCAGTGCCATTAGTACAGTGTCAGTGTTTTTTTTTTTTTTTTTTGGCACTGATCACTGTATTAGTGTTTTTTTGGGGATGTCAGTGACCCCAAGTCAGTACCCCCCAATGTCAGAATGTCCGCCGCAGTCCGCTATAAGTCGCTGATCGCTGCCATAAGTCACTGATCGCCGCCATTATTAGTATAAAAAAAAAACTAAAAATCCCAGTATCTTTCCCGCCATTTGTAAACGCTATAACTTTCACGTAAACCAATTAATTTACACGTATTGGTTTTTTTTTTTTTTAGCAAAGACATGTCGCAGAATGCATTTTGGCAAAAATTTATGACTAAATTTGATTTTTGCATTTTTTTTTTTTTTTACTGGACATGTTTTATAGCAAAAAGTCCAAAATATTGTTTTTTTTTTTTCCTCAAAATTGTCAGCCTTTTTTTTTATAGCGCAAAAAATAAAAATCGCACAGGCAATCAAATACCACCCAAAGAAAGCTCAATTTGTGGGGAAAAAAAGGATGTAAATTTCATGTATGTACTGTATTGCATGACCGCGCAATTGTCCGTTAAACTAGCGCAGCGCTGTATAGCAGAAAAATGGCGTAAATTGCAGTATCTATACCATAGTTTGTAGACGCTATAACGTCCACACAAAGCAATCAATATACACTTATTGGGATTTTTTTTACCAAAAACATGGAGCAGAATACATTTTGGCCTAAATTTATAACCAACTTTGCGTTTACTATATATTTTTTTATAGCTGAAAGCAAAAAATATTGTTTTTCTTCAAAATTTTTGGCCTTTTTTTGTTTATAGTGTGAAAAATAAAAAGCGCACAGATGATCAAATACCACTGAAAGAAAGCTCTATTTGTGTGAAAAAAAGGACGTAAATTTCGTTTGGGTGCAGCATTGCATGACCGCGCAATTATCAGTTGAATTAGTGCAGCGCCGAGTAGCAAAAAGAGGCCTGGTCATTAAGGGGGGTAAATCCTCAGGCGCTCAAGTGGTTAATCTTTTAGATTGTAAGCTCTAACGAGCAGGGCCTTCTGTTTCCTCTTGTACCAAATTGTATTGTAACTGTAATGTTTACCTTCATTTTGTAAAGATCTGCGCAAACTGTTGGTGCTATATAGATCCTGTATAATAATAATAATTGAAAAAAGTAAGGGATATTTCATTCAACTTGAACAAATACTTTTGACAATCGTGCAACAAATGTTTTATAAATGGATCCCAAAGAGTTGGAGCACCAGAAAAAGATCCAACATGACAGCGTGGGCAGGGAGAGACAATAATAGGAAAGCTAAATCTACCAACCGTTTATGAATGATTGGTTGGTCCAATCTTTTAAATATTATTTGCCTCCACAGACTAAAATGAAAAGAAAACTTCCTGAAATAGAAGACAAAAAAGAAAACAAGACAACATCCACCTCTGAGAAAGAAGCTAAAAAGCCTAAGAAGGAGCTGACCTCATCAGAAAAGAAACTAGCACACAGGTATTGCTAATTCCGATTATTGGAAGGACACTTCCAGAGATGATATGTAATACATAATCACTTTTGTCTGCTTATTGTATGTTTGGATGCAGTGTTTGGGTGGGAAAGCATTGTGGGCTGGCAGTAGGACATGATCCATGTCTGCGTGTTGCCACACTATGGCGTTACCGACTGTTCATTGTGATTTAATTGTGGCCCCTCCCCCAAACAGGTTATGTGATGTATTTGCTGGAAATTCTTTTAATATTATAGAATCTTTATTTCCAAGTGTGTGTGCGTGTGTATTTATAAAATTAATTCTTTATTCCATATACACACACACACACTTTTATTTTAGTTTCCAGATATAATATTGGGATTTTATTGGAATCTATGTGGACTTTATGGGATTATTGCTAAAACTGCACGGTGCAAAATCTGGTGCAGCTCTACATAGAATCCAATCGGCTTCCAAGCTTTATTGCCAAAGCTTAAAGTGTTACTAAACCCACAACAGTAAAATCCGTCTGTATATGCAGGAGAGCATGCTTGTTATACTTACTGTGGAACCTAAGGGGTTAATCCTCTGCATTTTGTAAAATGGCAATTTGATACGGTCTTCTCTGATCCTCCCCTTCTTCAAATGTTCATGTCTTATCTCCTGATAAGACAGGCTTAACCGTATCCATTCTGCACATGCTCAGTTTGGTGTGTATTGCTAGAGAGGTTTTTTTTTTTTCATGGGAGAGTGCATGTGATTAGCAGGGCCAATCAGCACTGTCCAGACAGAGGTCAAGGGTTTTGCATCCTCCTAGAGCAGAAAGAAAACTTTTCCTACAAGCTTTAACCAGGGCTCTGCTGAACACTGATAGAAGCCACAAGACTGCTCTTACTGCTGATGAGAAAAGCAGTTTATATTTACTATAAATTGCACTGCACTTCTATATGTTCTGTGTACTGTGGGAGACCAGATATAGTGAATGCAGGGACCAGGGAGACCGGATATAGTGAATGCAGGGTCCGGGGAGACCGGATATAGTGAATGCAGGGTCCGGGGAGACCGGATATAGTGAATGCAGGGTCTGGGGAAAACCGGATATAGTGAATGCAGGGTCCAGGGAGAGCGGATATATGCAGTGAATGCAGGGTCCGGGGAGAGCGGATATAGTGAATGCAGGGTCCGGGGAGAGCGGATATAGTGAATGCAGGGTCCGGGGAGAGAGCGGATATAGTGAATGCAGGGTCCGGATAGAGCGGATATAGTGAATGCAGGGTCCGGATAGAGGGGAGCGGATATAGTGAATGCAGGGTCCGGGGAGAGCGGATATAGTGAATGCAGGGTCCGGGGAGAGCGGATATAGTGAATGCAGGGTCCGGGGAGAGCGGATATAGGGAATTCAGGGTTTAGTAACACTTTAATTGAACAAGCTGACGTTAGAAGCTGATCTGAATGCTTACGTTTTAGTAAATCTCTCCCAATGTAAGCGTGCACAGTTGATATTTGTGTGCACTGTTTAATATTATGCTATCCCCTCCCCAAAGGATGGACATGTGAATTGTTCTGCTCTGCTGCAGGAACACATGGTCCAGAATTCAAGTCTTCTGCATTCCAGACCTTTTTCCCTGAATGCATAGGGCCCTAAATGCCCGTACTACACAGCACAGTGTTCAGCCCTGTCTGCCCACAGCCTTCCATAGACTTTGAGGGTCCGCCTGCAGTGAGTTTGAGTGCTGCATCTGTTCCTCCAAGGCGCCATAAAACGCCAGAAGGGTCTCACTGCAGCTGGATGGTCCTGTGTGCAAAGGGCCTTAAGTTTCCGAAATGTTTGGGACCTGTGGATAACTTACTACCTTCGGGTGGGTTATGTTTGCTCTCTATTGACTATTTAACACCCACTAGCTAAAATATTTCCTGGATGTTTCAGGGATTTAGAGGGGATTCCTCAGCCCCATTTTTATATTTTCCTTCATAGTTGAGTCTCTTAGCCTTGTTTCCACGTTGGAGGTTAGGCTTTTTGGCCAGAATTCTCCCATGAAGACTTCTCCGGACAGTAGATGGGTGTACCTGGCTCCTACTGGTTTCCACCAGTTCTGTGCTGATGGCACTGCTGGACATCTTCCAATGTGGAAGGGAAGTAAGCATGATGTGTCTTTCATATGCTGCACGAAATTTCCTTGGCTTGGCATCTACGGTCCTCAGCGTTGCCCGATCAATGGTGTCCTCGATGCTGAGAAATACAGGCAGATATTATCCATCATGCCATGCCATCAGGGAGGCATGTGATTGTCCCTAAACTTATTCTGCAGCAGGACAGCGACTCCAAACATACAGCCAATGTCATTAAGAACTATCTTCAGTGTAAAGAAGAACAAGGAGTCCTGGAAGTGATAATCTGTCCCCCACAGAGCCCTGATCTCACCATGATGGAGTCTGCCTGGGATTACATAAATGGACAGAAGGATTTGAGGCAGCCACCCAGCCTGTCCTTAGCAACTGGTGACGTTGGCTTATACAGCTTTCAGTTTTGCCGGCAAGAAATGAGAACAGCATGGAGGAGGTGCGAGGTGTCGTATTTTTTAGTTTTGAGGTTGTATTCGAGATGTGCAAAGAGAGATCACACAAATACTTATAAGTGTACCATTTATTACAAGTAATGACCGATACAGATAACAAATAAAATATAACAAGAATACTTCACTAAAGATGCTGTATCTGCCACAGGTCCCTCCATTTTATGACATGGCCGATGATCAGAACAGATGCATGCTTAATGCAAGCTCTGGGTTGAGACAAATATTCCCAGTCTAGCTGTGTGTTCTATACTGGACTTGTGTATAGGGAATGCCCCCCCCCCCCCCCCCCCCCCCCACTGCAAATAATATGACCTTTTAACCACTAGCCTACAGGGCACTTATACCCCCCTTCCTATCCAGGCCAATTTCTAGCTCTCAGCGCTGTCACACTTTGAATGACAATTGCGCGGTCATGCAACACTGTACCCATATGAAAGTTTTATCATTTTTTTTGTGACAGAGCTTTATTAGTATTTAATCACCTCTGGGTTTTTTATTATTTCTTAAACAAATCAAAAACTGCTGAAAATTAAAAAAAAAAAGTGTTTTCTTAGTTTTTGTTGTAAAATTTTGTAAATAAGTGTTTTTTCTCATTCACTGATGTGCGCTAATGAGGCTGTAGTGATGGGCACTGATAGGCTGCACTGATGGACACTGATAGGTGGCACTGATGAGGAGGCACTGGTAGGTGGCACTGATAGGCATTGACAGGCGGCATTGACAGGCGGCACTGACAGGCGGCACTGAAAGGCAGCTCAGATGGGCACTGATATGTGGCATTGATGTGCACTGGTAGGCACTGATATGTGGCATTGATGTGGCATTGGCAAGTGGCACTTTTCAGCACTGGCAGCTGGCACTGATGGACACTGACAGGTGGCACTTCTGGGGCCACACTGATTATCAGGGCACACTGATCATCAGTGCCCTGATGATCAGTGTACATGTCCCCTCCGCGGGAATGCTGATTACTGGCTCTCCTCTCCTGCCGATAACCGGCATTTCACTGTTTATATGTGATCAGCTGTAATTGGACACAGCTGATCACATGAGCGAGCCGACATCTTTGGCTCTTTCCATAGATCGGTGATCCGCTGTGTCCGAGGGACACAGTGCACTGCCAATCGCCGCGCTGCGTGCTCCCTGAGCCACGCATTCGCGCGGTGAGAACGGGAGGACGTCATATGACGTCCTCCCAGAACGTGAGAACCACCTTGGACTATATGGCGGGCTGGAGGTGGTTACTTGGTCACTTTGCAGTAACATTCCTTTGGTGTGAGTCATCTAAAGTGACTATCCTTGTCTCCTTATTAGATATTGTTACATAGTTAGTCTGGCTGAAAAAAGACAAAAGTCCAGTTCAACCATTAAAAAAAAAAAAAAAAAAGTTATAATCATAGGATTGATGCAAAGGAAGGCAAAAAACACCCCAGCAAAGCATGATCCAGTTTGCTCCTGCAGTGGAAAAAAATTCCTTCCTGATCCCCCGAGAGGCAATCGGATATTCCCTGGATCAGCTTTGCCTATAAATGTTAGTATCCAGTTCTATTCTGTGTATCTAAGAAAGAATCCAGGCCTTTTTTGAAGCAATCCACTGAGCTGGCCAGAACCAACTCTTGAGGGAGTCTATTCCACATTTTCACAGCTCTTACTGTGAAGAAACCTTTCTGTGTTTGGAGATTACATTTCTTTTCCTCCAGACATAAAGAGTGCCCCCTTGTCCTCTGTGAGCCATCAATAATTTAAAGGTTTGGTGATGAGTTTTCCTTTCAATGGTGGCTGCCTCCAGTCACACCTGAACGATAGCTACGATATATCGGGAAATGTCTGCACACAACACCAGAGTACATTGCAAACTCTTCAACTTTATTGCGGAAACATCAGCGTATATATAAAATCTGTAATCTCTGGGCAGATTTTTAATGACCAACTTTTTTAATATCAACCAATCAAATACATGCATTTTATCTTTAGCCTTGCACCTTAGTCGTCACCAAACTTTGCGGAACTATCGTCCTGCCAGATGGTTGTGGTCAGACTTACTCATTATTTTGGCCCAACGCCCGGACTACGGTTACTGTCTTACCGAAAGTTACTTCCTCAAACTTGCAAACACAGTTATTTTCCTGTAAAGCATACATACACACTTTTCATTTAGTGTGTACAAAGGTCATAGATTATAAAGCAAGCATATAAAACAAAATGGAGTTGATCATGTTATGTTATCATTTCAATAATATACAATTTCCTCATCAGGTGTGCTCTCTCTCTCTCTCTCTCCCGCCTCTCTTACACAGACATTAGCAGAGTAACCCTTTTATGATTGGACTGTAAAGGGCTATATGTCATTTTGTCACGGCGCTTCGGTTGAAAAACCCTGACCTAGAAAAACTGATTCTGGTTTGAAGCCAGATAGTCACACCAAATACTAATTTGATTTAAATTTTTTTCTGTTCGCTCACTTTGCATTTTGTAAATTTATAAAAATAAACAGCTAAAATATATATTTTTGTTAGCATTATTACTTTACAGCATTTCTTCACACCTGCCTAAAACCTTTGTACAGTACTGTGTGTCATCTGACCGATGTGACCATATTGTGACTTCCTGGTCTCCGTGACTCCACCCTTGGCCAACATCGGGTCTCTTTGTATTCAACTATTGTTTTAGAACGTATAAGAGTTCAATAAAAATGTATTGAAATGAAAATACAATTCCTACACAGCCATGATGGTTTCTCTCTTATTGCAGGGAAAGCTCTCTGGCAAATGCAGATGAAGATGAAAAAATGAGAAAGGCCAAAGTGAAGAAGGGCAAGAAGAGCACTGATGATGAGGAGCTGCCACTGCACATCAAGAGGAGACAAATTAAGGCAGGAGAGAAGGTGAAAAACAGGAGAACAATCTTTGTCGGGAACCTGCCCGTGTCCTGCACTAAACAGGTAACATACTATATACCCCTGTACCCGTGCTTAGTAACCATTGCTTACCATGAGTCCTGTGATGATGTATTTGGTGCAGACACACTAGAAGGCTTCAGCTGTCTTGCAAAGGTGATGTCTGGGATGCTGGTGTGTTTCTCTTAGAAACGTCCTCCCACGTTGGCAGTGCTCCCGTCTCTCCGTTTATTGGCGTCATGGGCCAAACGGGAGCATTGCTGATGCGGGAAGGCGTTTCTAAATGTCCCCCCCACATCCAATGCTTGTGCACGCTCCCTGGGAGCATGCAGCGCTGCTGAAACACAGATCGCTGTATGGGGCTGCTGTATGAGGTCCCAATTCGTGTGATCACTGATTGGCCACTCAGTGATCACATAAAGAGTAGTAAACAAGATGTCACTTCCTGACATCGTTGTTTACTACTTGTGAATTCTGTGAATGACCACAGAGGTCACATGGTAAAAGGCCATTCACAGCAGCCTTGTACCATGTGACAAGCTGTAACCAATCACAGCTCTCACAGTATTTCTCAAGGGATGCAGGAATGCAGCCAGAGAGAAGGAGAAATTATTACTTTTACATCTTTTCTGTTTGTAAAAGCAATCAGTGTAAAAAAACAGAAACAAATCTTGATCACCCCCACAAGTAGTGCAGTGTCACAATGGTTTATGGGAAGGCTGGAGGAGTATTTAAACTAGGATCGAGGGGGGAGGGAGAATGACATTATAATGGGGTAGACAGATCAGACAGGGGTCAGTACTTATTGGTGGGTGGAATGGGAAAAGATGGGGGAGGGACTATGGCAGGTGATGATAAGGTTCCCATGTTACAAACAACCAGTAGAATTGGTACCATTTGAATGAAATAAACAAACATGCAAAATACGTGTGACCAAGGTGTCAATCGATTAAACTGTTTGTTCACCAATGCCAGAAGTCTGCCAAGCAAAATAGGGGAGTTGGAAGCTTTGGTGCATGAAGAGAACTATGATTTAATTTGTATTGCTGAATCTTGGCTTCATTCTTCGCATGTCTGGGTCATTAATATTCCTGGCTACGTTCTCTTTCGGAGAGACAGTAAATAGGAAAGGTGGTGGTGTCTGTCTCTGTGAGAAGTGATCTCAGAGCGAGTGTGAAAGAGGACAGGAACTGACAGGAGCAGTTAAAGAGCAAACATTTTTAAACCTACTACAGGACAATTTTATGGTACAGTTCATAGAGGCCCCAACTAGGAATGATGCTCTGCTGGACCTGGTAATCTTTGTCCTTCGCTCCCGCGATGTCCCTCTTGCAGTGTCCCCGGCCATCTCCTCTGGCCAATGCTGGCATCTGTCTTCCGGGTTCTGTTCCCTGTGAGCGTCGGGACGTACGGGGGACGGAACGACGGGAAATTTAAAAATGACAAAAAGTGACATTCACTAAATACACTAAAATCACATAGTAAAACCTTACTGTATCAAACCATTTCACATACATTTTGTCCCGAGTGCTTTGTCCTGTGCCCTGCCTGCATTTTTACTGTTCTTTCTGCCTGGAACTGAGAAATGTCCATGGCGTCCAAAATGCGTCCCTTTTAGGTCCAAATTGGTTTTATACCAGCTAGAGAACAGCGATAGTAAATTAGAACCACTTGCAGAATTGAGTGATAATGATTTGTGGGGAAATTCGTCATCAGACACTGAAAATGATTTTGCGACTTTACTCAGTGATGTGCGAACTTGGCGATCTATTTCAAATTTCAGTGTTTTTTGTTAGATTATATTATTGAATTCAATTTATTATTATTATATTATTATTTTTTTTGATTCTTAAATTAAAACTTATGATTTCGTGTTTCAAATTTTAGCTTACCTGGGATGTTTACTAGAGACTCTTGTTTGGACAGATTTCAGTGAGTTATTCCTATAAATTACAGGCCAACAATAAAAAAACGACATATTTCCATGCCAAAAAATGTACCGCTTTGAGCACAGATATACTGACATAATCAGACCGCTAGGGAGGTTAATAATGGCATGCAATTCCAAGCTGCGGTTTCTAAAGCGAACAAAACCTCTCGTATTAAAAGAGGTATAGACTCCAGAGAGAGAGATATCATTTCCCCCGGTACAAATCATTAGTAAGACCTCATCTGGAATATTCAGTTCAGTTTGGGGCACCAATTCACAAAAAGAACATTGAGGGACTGGAGAAAGTACAGAGAAGGACAACCAAACTGATAAGAGGCATGGAGGAGTTCAGCTATGAGGAAAGATTAGAGGAAATGAATTTATTCTCTCTTGAGAAGAGGAGATTAACGGGGGATATGATCAACATGTATAATACATAAGGGGGGGGGGGGGATATGATCTCCATGTATAATACATAAGGGGGATATGATATCATGTATAATATATAAGGGGGGGGGTATGATCTCCATGTATAATACATAAGGGGGGGGGCTATGATCTCCATGTATAAATACATCAGTGGTTCATATAGTGAACTCAGTGTGGAGCTATTCACCCTGAGGTCATCAGAGGACAAGGGGGCACTCTTTCGTCTGGAGGAAAAGAAATTTAATCTCCAAACAGGGAAAGGTTTCTTTACAGTGAGAGCTGTGAAAATGTGGAATAGACTCCCTCAAGAGTTGGTTCTGGCCAGCTCAGTGGATTGCTTTAAAAAAGGCCTGGATTGTTTCTTGGATACACAGAATATAACTGGATACTAACATTTATAGGTAAAGTTGATCCAGGGAGTATCCGATTGCCTCTCGGGGGATCAGGAAGGAATTGTTTTCCCTGCAGGAGCAAATTAAGTCATGATTTGCTGTTTTTTTTTTTTTTTTTTTTGCCTTCCTCTGGATCAACTGTGGGTAGAGGATTATAACTTTTTTTTATTTTTTTATTTTTTTTCTATGGTTGAACTGGATGGACTTTTTTGTCTTTTTTCAGCCAGACTAACTATGTAACTATGTATTGGCCAGAGTGGAGTTCTGCTTTTATGTTAATACTAACCACTTTTGTTTCAGATGCTGAAGGCTTGCTTTAACGAGTTTGGCCATATTGAATCCATGAGGTTCCGCTCCATGGTAAGTGTTGTGCCATTCAAATGAAATTCTCAGGGACTGATATTTAGATCGGCTTTTTTCATACTGTGATTATATTTTTAGATGATGTTTCTAAACATTACTCTCTTGAAGAGCTCTGCCTGAAGAAACTTTTCAGGGGTGTCGGGGTGCCTGGTCCCCCTTTGTCTTTGTGTCTTTGTTACTATGGGAAATCGGTAGTATCTCATCAGGCACTGCAACTCTTCAAGAGAGTGAAGATAGAAGTTGCCGTCTGTTAGACTGGTATCTATTCTTGTATTTTTTTTTTTTTTGTTTTTCTTGCAGGATGCATTTATGTGGCAACAATCACTGTAAAGCTGAACTTCAGGAAAAAGAAAACAAAATATCTTGCGGTGGGGCTCCTTTTGTACAGTGGGGCTCCTTTCTCTCATTTTATGCCTAGGGTACCCATAACAAAGACTTTTATCATAGCTGATCCCTCGCTCCCGCAGACTCCCTCCACAGTGTAAGTGTGGGTCCTGCAGCCCTTCTCCCTGACACTCCATTGGTCACAGGCACTGTGGTGTCATCAAGTACAATGCAGCACCCTTGGCCCTGCACTGTATGCGAGGATGCTGAAGGACTGCCCACAAGCCAGAGCTTCAGGGAGAAGATTTGAGCTCCAGCTGAGGTAAGTAAGCGTACTTGTTATGGGTACCCTAGACATAATCGGGCATTTAACCCTTGCTCTGCAGGGGAAGCCCCACTGCAAGGGAGTGGTTTTTTTTTTTTTTTTTTTTTTTTTTCCAGAGTTCAACTTTAAAGCAGACCTATTGTCAAACATTAAAGTCAAGACTGCAAGCACTTCCTTTCAGCTCCTTCCATCAAAAAATGAGCCAAAAAATATTTTTGTTCCCAGATGAGGTCTTCCTCTAGGGCAGGGGTAACAAACTCATCACTGGTGGCATCAGCATTGTTGTTGCTCTGGTTATATCTGTAAGACTAGATTTCCAATGCCCCCCCCCTTACATCAGATGCCAAGAGCCCCCCCACCGTCAGAAGTCATGAGTCTCCCACCCTCCCTTACATTCCAGTGCACCCCTCCTTACCTTATGCTGCTGTCGGGAAGAAGCTGGGAGCGGAGTTGGGAAGCAGAAAGTGCAGGGTCTGGAGGAGGACCAGAGCAGGATTGGAGTTAGCTGCTTAAGTATGCTGAGAGCAGGGGAGGCGGAGATGAGGAGGTGCTGTGGCTGCACAAAAAGGGGCAGGATCTGTAGAAGAGGTTCTGTCCATCTCTGTGCTGCTGACTGCTGTGGTGGGGGAGGAGACAAGCCTGTCCTTGGCTGGCTGGAGAAACACAGGATATGGCGGAAGAGTTCTGTTCTCCTCTCTGCTGCCGACTTCTGATACATGGTGGGGCGGAGCTGCAGGAGAGGAGACTGGACCACATGAAATGGTCTGGTAGGCCGGATTCAGCTGGGTCTTTTGTTTGACATGTCCAGTAGGTCCACACTGGCTTCTCTAATGCAGCTCATTGTGAAGTTTAGGTGAAGTAATGGCACTGATTGACTGCTCAGGGACAGGTAGCCAATTCGTGCCTCTCCCAGACATAGAAGCTGCTCTCCATGTGCATAAAGAATTGCACATGTCAGGTAAGCAGTGAGCTACAGGGAGGCCATTTCAGCAAATGGGTACTTTAGGGGCCAATTGTTTTTTAAATATGCGCAGGAAGAGAGAATGGTTCTCCTATTTATTTTTTTAGTGCACCTGGAAATGGGATCAGTGTCCTCAGATTGCTGGGGAAAGCAAAGAGGAGTTCTAGAAGCATCTGTAAGTGTCCTTGAGCAAGAAAGCCCCTTGTGCCCCCCAAGAAGAGAGTTTAGTATTACATTAAAGGAAACTTCACTGAGAGGAACATGGAGGCTTCCATTGCTGACTTTTCATTCTGCAAATACCAATTTCCTGGCTTAACATCTTGGCCCATACTTTCACTAGCCTAGAACAAGTAAGCATGTAGAGCGGTTGAGGGGTTTTAAGGGTGCCACACATCCTCCAGAGCAATATTGAAATCATAACAAATTTCTATAGACCTATCCATAAAGTTTTATAATAACATTTATTTGGTTCCAAAATATAAAATCTTCCTTCATAGAGGATAAACGTGTACAATGTAATTTACAAATTGTTATAGCAGTCCACAGATTTCCAACAATCCCAACATGTTTCATCCATCCGGTATTCTTCAGGGGAGATGACTGCTGATTATTCCAAACCCACATACAAAAATATATAAATTATAAACATTCATTCAAAAACCACATTAAAAACAATCCATATAATTTTTAATTTTTATCTGCTGCCTGTAGTCTGCCAAGCTTACCAAAAATGTCTCACTGGCAGATTATGAAGATAATTGTGCAAATGATGGCAGAAGTTTGGGGATCACAAAGTGCCTTTCATAGGCACAAGGTCAACTGCTTTACGTGCTTACTTCTAGAAAATGGGATGTAGGTGCAGTTTGGTATTGTCACAGCTTACAGTACAAATTTATGAATATTGGCCTAGAACAAGGATACAGATAAGGACTTTACTGGGACTTTCCTGATTTGTATATGTGTGCCAGGAAGCCAGAGGGTTAGACTAACGGCCAAACCACTAGCATTCTTGGCAATGGCTGTCCTCATGTTGCTCACGGTACAGGTTTCCTTTGGGCTTTTATAGTGTCATTGCCGGACTAAGCAGGACTTTCAGAAGGCGCCCCATGGCACTGCATCCTCCTTAGAGAATACTTGGGTGCCTGGCTGTCCCGGATTCTGATGCTTTTTTTGAGTCACAGACCTAAACCAGTATACAGATTAGAAAGTCAGAACTCCTGATCTACATACTTGTTCCCGGTCAGTTCACCAGAAAATATTGACTTAATTGGATCAGCATGACAGCCCAGGGACCTAGCATTTCCAGGAGAGGTCAGCATTTGCACAGTATAGGTTTTCTTAGGCTGGATTCTTCATACTGTTGTGGTACTTTAAAATGGTTGTAAAGGCTCAAGATATTTTACCTTCATGCAATCAATGTATGAAAGTAAAAAAAAAAACCTTCTGTGTGCAGCAGCCCCCCTAATTTCTTACTTGAGCCCCCATTGTGATTCTGCGATGTGCACGAGAGCCTTGTCTCTCTGGGGACTCTCCCCCCTCGTTGGCTGAGACAGCAGCCAAAGAGCCAATGAAGAGAGATCGGGGAGCAGAGCCGAGCCGTAACTTTGCTGATGAACACACAAAATAGCTGCTCAGGAATGAGGCTGCTTGAGTGCCCCCATAGCAAGCTGCTTGCTATGGGGACACTAGGCAGGAGGGAGGGGCCAGGAGAGCCAGCAGGGGACCTGAGAAGAGGAGGATTGTGGCTGCTCTGTATTTAAAACAAAAAACACAGTCCTTACACACAGCAAATAAGTATAGCATGATATATATAGATGAGCAGTATGTTTTAACCGATAACATTATTGTGAAGGAAAAAATCCGGTTGAACAACAGTGAAAAATGTTGTTTTGCATACGAACAACCGATTTTCTATGGGGTGGTATGACGGTCGTACGAAAAAAATCTATCAAGCGGGAACAGAAGATGACACGGATGTTTATGTCCAAGGAATCTTCGGAAACACAAACGAAAAATCCGAATGTTAAAAGTATATTGGCCTAATGAGGTAATGAAACCAGAAATCTGCAGATTATATTTTATGTATCACAAATTGTGTATATCGCACGTTCTGGGCGACAGGGCGTGGCTACAAGGTCACACGCACACTGCATCACTTGTATGGAAGACGTCAACACTATGTATTGGCTGACGAACAATTTATTTCAGATTGGTTAATGTGGGCCACTATTTCAACCAACGAACAAACTCCTCTCGGTCGTCGGATGACAGATCGGTCAATTTTTTTTAATCGTGTATTTCCACCGTAAAGCTTTGACAAGATAAAACCTGGAAGCTGATTGGCTACCTCGCACAGCTGCAGCAGATTTTGCACTAGTCTGTTTTAGTAAATCTCCCCCAAAGCCTCCTGTGCTGCAAATGATTCTCAGCTGCTCTGCACTGTATCTACGAATGTTAACTCCTTTGTTTCTGCTCTGTCTAGGCTCGGGCTGATTCCTCCCTCTCCAAAAAAGTTGCAACTATCCAGTAAGTTATATTTCTGTATATTTTTTTCTTTAGCCACAAAGGTTAAGGGCCGGTTCACACAAGAATTCGGTGCGGAAAAGGTGTGCTACCTTTGCGTTTGCCACGCTGCCTTTAAAATGCGCTGTCTTTGCAGTGTGCTGCGGGTGCTAATGCATTGTTAAAGGCACCTGTGACGGTACGCCTGGCACCCAGCTTGTGCCTTCCATCAGAGAAGTGCTTCCTTGCCACTGGGAAACAGGACCAGCGTATTATAGCCGGGCATTGCACCCAAGACTAGCTTAGATGCCAATCTGGAACTACTTTATGGAACAGAAATACAGTTTTTATACACTCCAGAAATAGGGCAGTGCCCACATGAACAATAAAACAAATACACTGGTTAGACAAGGGGGGTGAAGCTAACATCAGTCTAATCCTATCATGTAAGTACCTCCCAAAAAGCTTGCCAACAACAATAGGTGACTCAATTAACAGTAAGCTAATCAACAGCCAGCTACCCAGACCAGCCTTGATTAGTCTGTATGGAGTTATACAGTATGGGCCGGCATAGGAGTACATGGAACGGAGACCAATATGACCAGCTCCTTTTAATGGACATATATAATTCCAAATAAAACCAACCAGGAATAGTCTTCAGGGCAGATCAAAGTAAATAGTCCTTCCAAAATGTCACAGAGAAATATAACAAATAACAGGTAGAATGTTGCAGAGAAGGTCCGTGCAGCCAATGTCCATGACAGCACCCAAACGCAGTTCGTAAACGCAGTGTTTTTACAGGCACCAGATTATATGGTACTGCGGTATCATGCAATTTGGTGCACTGTGTTTTTATCAAAAGTAGAACATGCACAATTTTTTGTGTGATTTGCAAGCCCATTCAAATGGTCTGCTAAATCACACTGCAGGGGAATGCACAGAATCGCAGAGGAACTCGGACTGAATTCCTGTTCAATTCTGATGTGAACCAACTCTTAAAGTATAACTAAGAGCAAAACTTTTTTTTTTTTTTTACATTTTGGACAGAGTGGACTGGGATTAGAACCCCTGTCAGTTTTTATGGCTGTCTGTGCCCCCTTTAAGGAAATACACCCTCTCTTTGTCCTGTTTACCATTATCATTGAAAGTAAGAGAAGACCCCAAATTTTGGGTTGTCCCAGAAAAGTAATAGAGGGGAAATCACCAATGGGGACACTAGTTCTGGTAACCTGGGGGTCCTCAAGAGATTCCATGAATTTGCAGGGATTTTCTCTCACTTCCTGTTTGGCTATGGGACAGGAAGTGAAGAGAAATCTCCCCAATGGGATACAGATGGCAAAAAATATAATATATTATAACCGACTATCCAAAATGAAACAAAGTTTGGCCTATAGTTCTACTTTGTATTTCAATGGTTTTTCTTAATTTGTAAACAGTTTAACAAGATTAGAGCAACAAAACATGCCCACGCAGGGCTATCAATGGCACATAAGAAGCAAAGAGAACAATGCTCTAACATCGACAGAGCAGAAGGTGCGTCCACGCAGGGGCTTTCAATGGCACATAAAATACAAAAACAGTGATATAACACCGACAGTAACTCAAACCAAAGGCAGCTACCCACCGCCTCACAAAAAGCCAACAAAAATAAAAAGGAAAAAGATTAGAGGGAAGAAGACAAGACCAGAAATAGGGATCCGGGAATGGTAATACTGAACAACATCAAAAGCCCGGACTAGCCGGGGGGAGCGAGGGAAAGGCATATTGCAACCACAGTTCCCATATTGTCTAAAGTGTCCGTTGGGAGTTATTACGGATACTCGACATCTGTTCATTGAGCATCAGAGCTGTCATACGGTTCCGCACCCCCTGAAGAGGAACAGATGTACTTTTCTAGGTTTGAGCAATTGTTCTAGTTGCTGACAAGAACAAATAGGAAGCCAACTTCTGCTGGTGAGCGAACAGGCCCGGTATGGGACAATGAAGCAAAGCATGCCGAGCATCCCAGCATATGGAGAGATGGAGCAAGGTGTAAAGGAGGCCAAATACGCGAGACCAAAAACAAATCGGTCTCGGGCAGAACCACCATATATTCGACACATCTCTGCGATGACCACAACCCCGAAAGCAGCGATCCCTACAGGCAGAGTTCGCCTGGGCTAAATGAGCTGGGACCCAATACCAACAAAACAGTACTTCGTATGCCGCCTCCAGCATGGCTGTATTAAATGAACATTTAGCTATAGACGAGCAAGCCCTATTCCATTCCTTAAAATCTACGACTGCCAGGACGCTCTCCCACCGAGCGACATAAGAGATAGAAGTACACTTGGAGCATCTTTTCAAAGATGCATAAAGTAGGGAAACAAGGCCCGGGGTGGCCGGACGTTGTTGGCAAAGCTGTTCAAAGGCAGATTTCTGATATGGGAAAGCAGAGGTCAGCCAGTGCCAGAATTGAAGGTAACTAAAAAATTCCGCCTGAGGGACATCCCGTGACTTCCGAAGAGAGTTTCAGGTGGGGGAAGGACCAAGAAGTCAAAAAGTGTCGTACCTGTGAAAAACCATTGGCCACCCACCAAGGGAACGCCCCTGGTTGATTTAAACCCTGCGGGAAAGAAGAGGATTGTTAGTAATTGTGAGCAAAGGCAGAAAGGGTGACATCAAGCCATTGGAGTAGCGTAGCAAATCCCCCACTTGTAGGCCATGGAGCAAAATCGGACTGAGTGTCGTAGGGTAGGGGGGAGCCATAAGAGCATCGATGTCGCAATGGGGGCACAGTTGAGTAGTTCCAAAAGGACCCAGAGAGGAACATTAGAAGAAGCGTGCAACATTGACAGTGGGGCAATCTTGTTCGCCTGGTAATACATAGCTACATTAGGCACCCCAAGACCTCCCTGGAGTCTATGGACAAAAAGCGTATTTCTGGAGACTCTGGGGCATCTTATCGGGCCAGATGAATTGCATAATCCTCGCCTGAATAAACCGGAGGAAATGAGGAGGAACCCACACTGGGAGGGTGCGAAAATAATACAACAGTTTAGGCGGGATGGTCATTTTCACCGAGTTAATCCGTCCAATCCAGGACAGTTGTGGGAATTGCCAAGACTGCATAAGAGAAGACACAGAGCAAAGCGATGGATAATAATTTGCAGCAAACAAAGAGCCATAGGTAGGGGTCAGGCGAATGGCCAGGTATTCAAGTGAAGAGGAAGTCCAGTTGTAAGGGAAGTAGGACTGTAGGCGCCAAACCAAACCTGAGGCCAAAGTAATATTGAGAGCGACAGTCTTATCCAAATTAATACGGAGGCCCGAAATCGAGGAGAAACGCGCAAGGACCTGTTGCAAATTTGGAGCGTCGTCAAGGGATTGGTGAGAGTCAAGAGGGCATCATCCGCAAAATGATTCAACTTAAATTCCTGTCCCGCGTATGGAACACCTGATAGATTACAGTCAGCCCGGAGCTGATTAATCAGACCTGCTGTGTTTTCTGTAAAACATTAGATGGTGCTAACTGAAATATGCCTGTGCAATCCATGCCTTTAATTGACTCCGTTGCAGATGTTTCTAATAAAAAGACTAATATCCTCACTATATAAGTCAATTTTTTGGCCCCTATGGTTCTCCTGGGTTGAGGGGGGTGGGAAGAAGATGTGAGTTAGGAATCTGATGACTCCTGAAGCAATATATTAGACTTAATTACCCGGGTATCCCTGTCACCTACACAAAGGCTGTATCAATTATTTCTCATCTATAGATCGTACCGCGCTCCACTCAAATTGTTTCAATGGGGATGTAGACACACTCCCTAATGTCCCCGATGCCAACAATCCCCAGCAGATTTCCTCCACGTGATGTGAAGGTGTCCCAAATTGTTCCGTTATTAGAGTATAGTTGTAGGCACTATCAGTAGAGTACCAAACTCAACGTTACTTCCTATTATGTGCCTGCTTTGAGATGTTGACAAGGGCCATATCCCACGTGAGGAAAGAATGCCTATTCTATGTTTGTCGTTTATCGCCCCAGACAACGATTGACATGAAGTTTTTTAAAGGGTCACCTATCGATAGTAAAATTTACATTGTCACCGTTGCACAGGCTTGCTCAGTTTTAAAATGTGACATGTTTGGTATGATGTGACATCATCTTTTATATATCCCCCAAAAATTGGGTTCTGTATTTGTTTTTGTTTTTTTTTAATTTTTTTTTTTTGCATTAAAATTCAATAAAGTGTATTGTTCGCCCAAAAATGGCCTTTGAGAAATTGGTGCGCAAATACCGTGTGAACAAAAAAATTGCAAAACCCACCAATTTATTCTCTAGGGCCTCTGCTTTAAAAAATATATAATTTTTAGGGTTCTAAGAAATTTTCTAGCCAAAAAAAAAAGGTGCCAGAAAAGGCCTGGAGGTCAAATGGTTAAATAGACTCAGCTAGGCAGATATCAGACAGATCTGTAGTTTCCTGTTTGGGCCTTTTTTTTCCTCTACTTCTCTTATAATACTGGCGTGATCTGTCCATTTTTGAAACCGTCCAAGCAGAAAACTGCAGATCTTTTTGGTGTTTGTCTACCTAAGTCCATTTAAAGGCTAGGTTCACCTTTTGCAAAAACGAAAAAATACACATTCCTTTTCCGGCCAAAAAAATAAATGTGCACTACTTGTTTTTTTTCTGAGGAGCCTGCAGAGCATCGCACCCATGATCAGCAGATGGCGAGTGCAATGTCTGGCCCCTGTAGACTCATGCCTCATATAAGCAGGAAGTTACCTGAGAGCAGGAAGATCCCTGAACTACAAGAACGCTCACCAGCGCCACAGTTCATTGAGAACTATAAGATGTCAACCGCAATGGCCAACAGTACTTGTAGTCTGTTCATTCACAGGAAACTGAATGAATGATGTGGTTGGGTGGGTGAAGCCCCTCATTGCTGCACTGTTTTCAAATTGTGACAGCAAATGTGGGGCGATCATCCCTGGCCTGATGTCACAGGGAGGGGGATGAGGGCGAGTAGGTGCAGGTGCTGAAACATGTTACACTTTCCAAAGGTGAGCTAAACCTTAAAGTGGCTGTAAAGGCTGAAGTTAAAAAAAACCTTTTCTGTGCTGCAGCCCCCTCTCTATCCAGCTATGTGCACTGTAGTTTCAGCTATCCCTAGACTCCCTCTTCTCATTGGCTGAGACAGCAGCAGGCACCATTGGCTCCTACTGATCTCAATCACAGTCAATGAGAAGAGAAGAAGGCGGGACTGAGCTGCGTCTCTGTGTGTGAATGGACACACTGAGCAGCGGCTGGGGAGTGCACATGCTCTGGTGCCCCCAAAGCAAGCTGCTTGCTGTGGGACCACCCACAGGAGGGAGGGGCCAGGATCGCCGGCAGGGGACCCAAGAAGAGGAGGATCTGGGCTGCTCAGTGCAAACCACTGCATATAGCAGGTAAATATAGACATTTTTGTTATTTTTATTTATTATTATATTATTTAAGCCTATAGAATCACTTTAAGGCTTGGTTCACACCTATGCAGGATGCAGTTGATGCATTTTCAAGGTGTTTTTTTTTTTTTTTTTTTTTTTTTTTTTTCCCCCCCACATAGATTTTTGATGTGTCAAGTGTTTTTGGGAGGCGTCTGTTGTCTTGTGGGAGAAATCGGCAAAAAGGCTTGGGTTTTGTATGTGTTTCCATTGAAGTCAAAGACACAACCTGTTGCAGGAACAAAAGTCCCTGACCCTTTTCATAGTTAAGTCTGTCTGAAAAAAGACGAAAGTCCATCCAGTTTAACTTTCAAAAAAGGCACTGGTGGAAGACGCAGATGTGACATGATACATAGAAAGCCATATTCAATGGACTATAGTAAGTTTTTGCAAAACTGAAAACGCACTGAAAAACGCACAGGCGTGAACCAGGCCTTAAAGCTGAAAATAACAACTCCTTGAGGAAGTGGCGCTTGCAGTTCAAATCGGGACAGCAGCCTAGGCTGACCACATCTCCATAGACAGTGTGTACAGCGAGTGAGAAAAATCAGAAAATAGAGGAATATTAAAAAAAAAAAAGAAAGAAAACCCAGTGCAGCCACTGCATCTAAGGATTGATGCATGACATGACATGTTTGGGTTGCTTTAGACACTTTATAACACCCAAAGGTGCAGGCAGTGCTGCAGTCTTTGGTGACATCATGGTACCGACAGGTTCACGTTTAGCCGTGCATCATTGTTGGTTTTAAAGTTCCTCTATAATGAGAAAATGTTTCCTTTCTTTGCAGACGGAAAATACATCCTAAAAGGAAAAACATTAATGCGTATTTGCTTTTCAAAGACCAAGAAAGTGCAACTAAAGCTCTCGTAAGGTGAGTACCTGAAAATGTTAGTAGTGGGCACACGAGCCGGCTTTTCACAAGGCCTTACCAGAACCGTGTTGTATTTATTTCTGACCTTTCTAGAGTGCTGACAATTTACGTATTGGTCATTGTGTGGCAAGGAGCTTCCGATCTAAGGTCCCTGTCTCACATGCACGCATTTAATGTCTGTTCTAACTATTCGTTGCGGACAGATATCTGACCAACAAAGGCACCCAGGAGATATAGAACCTTTTCAACTGCTGACAAGGTAACCCCTCCCCAAATAAAACCGTACAAACAACAAAAATAAAGATGGATTATTGTACTTAGCCAGGAGATTGAAGGAAGTGTGAGGCCAGTTATTCCCATGTCCAGACATACTTAACCATTTCAATACCAGGCAATTTTACACCTTCCTGCCCAGGCCATTTTTCACGTTTCAGCACTCTCACACTTTGAATGACAATTACGCGGTCATACAACATTGTACCCAAACTAAAATTTTATCATTTTCTTCACACAACTAGAGCTTTCTTTTGGTGGTATTTAATCACCGCTGGGGTTTTTATTTTTTGCTAAATTAACAAAAAAAGACCAAAAATTTTGAAAAAAAAAAACACGTTTTTCTTTGTTTCTGTTATAAAAGTTTACAAAATAAATAATTGTTCTTCATAAATTTAGGCCGAGATGTATTCTGCTACACGTCTTTGGTGAAAATAAACCAAATTAGGATGTATTATTTAGTTTGTAGGAAAGTTATAGAGTTCACAAACTATGGGATATATCTGAATATTGATCAATCCTGAAGTACTGACAGCCAATCTAATTTCTTGAGGTCCAAGAATGTCAGAATAGTACAGATAATCCCCCAAATGACCCCTTTTTTGCAGAGTAGACAGTCCGACGTACTTCATAAGAGGAATGGCGAGTTTTTTGAAGTTGTATTTTTTTTGTCATAATTTTTTGGAAAATGAAAGAATTAAAAAAATTATTTTTACAATTTTTTTTTTTTACATACTGTCACCAGTGCAGTACAGCGTCATCATATAACTGGCATGGCGGTGATCAGGGACACTGACTGGTGACAGTATGGGAAAAAAAATATACATATATTTGTTTTTAATTTTTTTATTTTTTATTACATTTTATTTTATTTTTTTTAAGATTTTTTTTTTCATATTTTACTATGACCAAAGTAGTACAATGTTACCATAGTAACATTGTACTACTTTGGGGAAGTGATCAGTATTTTTATTTATTTATTTTTTACACAATTTGCTTATAGCAAAGAATTACTTTGCTATAAGCAAGCATTTACCTGAATGACATCGATTCATTCAGTTTTTTTTTTTTTTTGTGCTTAGCTGTGATTTGGCCACAGCTAATCACATGACGTGCATGTGACCTGCTGTGACCATTCACAGCTAGGCACTAATATACAATGGATGGCATGAATGAAGCCATGCATTGTATACAACTGTCATGTGACCTGCTGTGATTGGTCACAGCAGGTCACATGGTACGGGCAACGGGGGCCGGTACTCAGATCTGTCATCGGCCGTGTCCGAGGTACATGGCCGGTGACAGGCTGCGCGGCTCTGCAACCGCGTGAACTGCGCATGAGCGGAAGCACGCCAAATGGCATGCACCCGGAAAGCTGAAGCATTTTTGCGGCCGCCAAACGGCTATAGGCCGGGGCGGCTAATAGTTAAAGAGTAACTCCACTTTTGTTCCGAAAAAAATTTTCACCTCTGGGTGATCTATGTACATTGCAGGGCTTTTAACAAACTTTGTGGCAGATTTCTGCCTTTTGTTATTCTGAAGAAACAGCTGTTTGTTTCTCCGTGTCCATGTGCAGAGTGTATCTGTATGGAAGTGGTTGTATAATTATCAAGGAGGAGAGGGGAGGTTTTTGGGGATTGGGGTCCTGAGGAGAGGGGAGGTGTTGGGTGGTCTGAGGAAGAAAATAAAGGTCTGGGGGGTCTGAGGAGATGCCTGGGTGGGTGTGTCTGAGGAAGAGAGAGGGGTCTGTGGGGTCCGAGGAGTGGGGTGGCGGTCTGAGGAGGAGAGGGGAGATTTCAGGAGAGAAGGGGTCTGAGGAGGACTGGGGAGGTTGGGGGTTCTGAGGACAAGTGATGTCTGGATTGGGTTTGAGAAGGAGAGCTGAGGTCTTGAGGGGGCATCTGAGGAGGAATGGGGAAGTCTAGGGGGATGTGAGGAGGAGGGGTGGTGTGAGAGGGTCTGAGGAGTAGAGGGTAGGATTGAGGAGGAGAGAAGGGAGGTCTGGGGGGTCTGAGGAGGAGAGCCAAGGTCTGGAGGGGGGAATCTGAGGAAGAGAGGTAGGGTCTGGGGAGGAGAAGTGAGGTCTGAGGGGGTGGGGGGTAATATTTGAGGAGGAGAGGGAAAATCTGGAGGGTCTGAGAAGGGAGAGGAGAGATCTGTCTAAGTCTGAGGAATAGATGAGAGGTCTGGGGTGGCTGAAAAGGAAAGGGGAGGTCTGGAATGTCTGAGGGGGAGAGGGGAAGTCTGAAAAGGTGGGGGTGATCGATGGAAAGGTCTGAGGGAGGGGGTGCTGAGGAAGAGAGGGGAGGCCTGGGTGGGGATATGAGATGGAGAGCAGAGGTCTGGGAGTCTGAGGAGGAGAGGGGGTACTCTGAGAGGGATTCTGAGGAAGATAGAGGAGGTCTAGGGGTGGAGTGGGGGGGGGGTGTCTGAGGAGTAAGGAGGTCTGTTTGGGGATCTGGGGAGGAGAGCGAAGGTCTGGGGAGGAGAAAGAGAGGGGTGGTCTGAGGAGAGGTGTGAGGGGGTCTGAGGAGGAGAGCAGGGAGATCTGAGGAGGTGAAATGAGTCCATGGCGGGTGTAAATTATACAGAGAATATACCCTACTTCTATTAATCTGTTAATAAAACATATTTCTTACAGCGGGGGGGGGGGGGGGGGCTGTAATATCCGAGGAGGAGAGATTGGTCAGGGGGGGTGTCTGAAGAGAGAGGAGGTCTGAGGGGGCAGGGGTAGTTGAAGGAAAGGAGGGGTCTGGGGGGTCTAAGGGAGGAGAGGGGAGGTCTCGGGAGGTGGTGGGGGGGTTGAGCGGCCTGAGGAGAAGAGGGGAGGTGTGAGGGGGCCTGAGGAAGAGAGAAGGGGGGGGGGGGAGTCTGAGGAGGAGAGGGGAGGTCTGGGGGATCTGAGGATGGAAGGCTTGGTCTGGGGGGGGGGCTCTGAGTAGAAAAGGGGTGGTCTGGGTTGGGATCTGAGGAAGAGAGCGGAAGTCTGGGGAGGAGAGGTCTGAGGGGGAGAGGGGAGATCTGTGGGGTCTGAGGAGGAGAGGGGGTTGGTCTGCATGGTGTTATGAGAGGGTAATCTGGGGTTGAAGGGAGTCTGAGGAGAGGCGCAGAGTGGAGGTTAGGTCTGAGGAGAGGGGGTGGTGTGGGGAGGAGAGGGGGCGGTCTGGGGCTCTCTTAGGAGGAGAGAGAGGAGGTCTGGGAGGGGGTCTGAGGAAGAGAGGGGCGGTCTGGGGGGAGCTGTGAGAAGGAGAGCGATCATCAGCAGCAGGGGGGGGGGGGGGGGGGGGGGTTTGGGTGGTCTGCTGAGGAGGAGAGGGAAGGCCTGGGGGGTCTGAGGATGAAAAGGGAGGTCTGGGTTCAGATATGAGGAGGAGGAGGGGAGGTTGGTGTGGTCTGAGAAGGAGAGGAGAGGTGGGGTGTGTGAGGAAGAGAGAGGAGATCTGGGGCATCCAAGGAGGAGAGGGGGATCTGTGATGGGCAGTCTTTAGCTTAATTCCCCCCCCCCCCCATATTCCGATCACACTGTGAGGCAGTGTCTTCCTCCTCTCTTTCTCTCTTCAGTAATGTGACATGTCACATGACAAGGGGAGAGGGGAAGCACCGGCAGTCTGCCCTCACATCACAGCAGCACCTGCTCTCTTTTGATACTTGCAGGCTGGAGGGAGGAGCACAATGCACTGCTGTGCTTTACAGTTGTGTGGTGTATTGTAAGGCTACCCACCTGATGTATAAATGGACTCACCCCCCCCCCCCCCCGCCCTTCCAAAATAGTGGAGGAAGAATGAGCACGTACTTTCAAACCAAAAAACCAAGCCAGCAGCAGCAGCTCTCCTTTTCTAATCCTTTTACCCTACAGAAGTGTTTGACTCGCTCATCCTAATCGAGATTGTTCCTTGTTTATAACCAGGAACGGTACAGAGATCAGCAGCGGATTCCACATCAGAGTGGATCTTGCCTCGAAGAGCTCTACGGTAAGCAGCTTTAAATGTACCTAAGGCCATTTACTGAGATGTAATATATACTACACCTTACCAGACGTTCGATGTGGCGATGGCTGCATTAGTTGACTCTTTTAGGCCTTTTTTGTCTTTTATCTCCTGATAATCCTGCTAGTAACACACTTCCTGTCTCCTAGGGTGACAACACTGGAGGATTGGCTAAGGCTAGGTTCACACATGTGCAGTTTGCATTTGATCCATTTTTGCTGTGCTTTTTGCGGTGTGTGTTTTACATTTTTGCACATACGTTTTTGATACGTTGTTTGTTTATTTTTTCCAACCTGTTGCTGGGCAGAGTAAAACACATCAAAAACGCACTACATGCTTTTCTGCAGCATCTCCATTGAAGCCTGGAGAGCCAAAAACGCAATGTTTTGCATTTAAAAAAGTCCCTGACCCTTTCCAAAAACCGCACTGCGTCAAAATGCGGAGATGCGAACCTGTCCCATAGGAAATCATGTTAAATGGACTGCTGTGGGTTTCTGCAAAATGCAGCAGAACATAGACAGAATGCAGGTGTGAACATAGACTAAGACAGAACTTCAGAATACCTCCCATTCTCCTTATCACCGTAGTCTATGGGGGAGGTGTGCTGTAGTCCACAGATAGAACTGGGCAGGGCTGATAAACATTGCTAACAGAATGCATAGGAATGTAGCAGCTCACTCTGGCAGAATACCGGGTATTTTTGTACTTGCAGCGTTTTAAAGGGATGAAACATGAGGAAACGTACATGTATTACGGAGATGTACAGAATATATTTTTCTTTTAGCTAAGGCTTCATTCGCACAAACGTACACCCATTCATCGGGCAGTTCTTGCTTGCACCGGTGTTCCGTGCATCTGCATGCATGCGGCCCCCATTGATGTCTATAGGGACACTGCAGCAGCACAGACACAGCCGCTGTTCCCAATTTGACATTTGGGCTGGGGTGGGTCCCAGAACTTAATTCACACTGTCTACGCCTGGGGCCTCGCATCTGCACGAGTGTGAAATTGGGAGCAGCGGCTGGGTCTGGACAGATGCTGCGTCCCAACAAGCACTAATAGGACTGTTTACACAGAACACATGTGCAGGCAAAAACCGCCCTTTGCACGGGGTGTACACTTAAATACCTCTTCCTCCTAAAAAAAACGTTTTCCTCTTGATCCTAGCAAGTTTTTTTTTTTCTATACATAGCACAGCTACATTGTAAGAGCTCCCACCACCCAGCTGGCCTAAAGCGTTCCTAAACTCTGGGCCCCGCAGGTCTCCCCGGACCCTGCATTCATTCTATCTGGTCTCCCAGGACCCTGCCTTCATTCTGTCTGGTCTCCCAGGACCCCGCATTCATTCTGGCTGGTCTCCCAGGACCCTGCATTCATTCATTCTGTCTGGTCTCCCAGGACCCCTGCATTCATTCTGGCTGGTCTCCCAGGACCCTGCATTCATTCTGTCTGGTCTCCCAGGACCCTGCATTCATTCTATCTGGTCTCCCAGGACCCTGCATTCATTCTGTCTGGTCTCCCAGGACCCTGCATTCATTCTGTCTGGTCTCCCAGGACCCTGCATTCATTCTGTCTGGTCTCCCAGGACCCTGCATTCATTCTGTCTGGTCTCCCAGGACCCTGCATTCATTCTGTCTGGTCTCCCAGGACCCTGCATTCATTCTGTCTGGTCTCCCAGGACCCTGCATTCATTCTGTCTGGTCTCCCAGGACCCATGCATTCATTCTGTCTGGTCTCCCAGGACCCTGCATTCATTCTGTCTGGTCTCCCAGGACCCTGCATTCATTCTGTCTGGTCTCCCAGGACCCTGCATTCACTATGTCTGGTCTCCCAAGGCCCTGCATTCCAGTCTGGTTTTCCCAGGCCCTGCATTCATTCTGTCTGGTTTCCCCGGACCCTGCATTCATTCAGGACTGTTCATTCTGTCTGGTCTCCCCAGACCCTGCATTCATGTCTATCTGGTCTCCCACAGTACACAGAACATGGAAGTGCAATCATTTTAGAAAATCTAAGCTGCTAAATACATTTTCTCATCAGCAGTTAGAGCAATCTTGTGGCTTCTCTCCGTGTTCAGCCAAGCACTAGCTAAAGCTTGTAGGAGGATTTTTGTTTCTTTTATAGGAGGATGCAGATCCCTTGACCTCTGTCTGACCAGTGTTGATTGGCCCTGTGCTGATCACATGCACACCAAACCCCTCCCCCCCCCCAAAAAAAAAAAAAACCTCTCTAGCAATACACACCAAACTGAGCATGTGCAGAATGCCTACGGTTCATTCTGTTCTATCAGGAGATAAGAGGTGGTCACTTTAACAAGGGAAGGAACAGAGCAATCATGATCAAACTGCCTTTTTACACAATGCAGAGGATTAACCCCTTAGGTTACAGGGAGTATAACAAGCATTCCTTACTATGTGTATAGACTGATTTTACTGTTGAATGTTTTAGTAACTGCGGTGGAACGGTTCCACCGGGGCTTCCTCGTGCGGAGCGATGCGTCTTAGCCAATGATCCCCTTTTCCGGCAAGTCTTCCAGCGCTCTGCCAAGGCGGGTATTAGAGCTCAAAGACAATCCTTCCCCGATATCCCAAACCACGAGTCAGAACTTTGCGTCGGACGAATGAATGCTTTATTGAACACAGCCAGGCAATTGGCACAGTCTAAAATCTAGAGAAGTTAAAGACAACTAAACAAACCATGTAGAATGCCTGTCTACATAACAGGTGCTAAACCTATACAGCTTTAAAACGGTTAGACCGGGAAGACCACTTAACAAGGGGATAAAACCAGAACAGAAAGAGCCAAATGTTATCACAAAGGGACGGTTTGTCACAAGGCTCCCCAGTTGCGTAACACCTGCCAGACCCGGCGAGACCTGCTTATTCACACGGAAGGTTTGGCGGATCCTTCCATCCGAACAGCGAGCTACAACGTACGTGGTATCACAGAGTTGCTCCGCCTCTTGGTACGGGCCTTGCCGGGCAGCCTGTAATTTGTCACGCCTGACTGGTTTCAAGGCCAACACTTTCTGTTCCGAGTGAAATGTTCGATGGCGGGCAGACCGGTCGTACCACCGTTTCTATCGGCTTTGGGCGTCCTCCTCAAGGTTGCGCGTACTAGGGTCGCCAACCGTTGTAGCCTTTCTCCAGCACATAGGCCATCACTGAGGTCCCCTCTTTGGCCACTGCGTAGGAGATCCAGGGTTCCCAGACCCTCTGGCCATACAACAGCTCGAAGGGAGAGAACCCAGTGGACTCCTGCGGTACCTCTCGGTAAGCGAACAGGAGGTGGGGGAGATGCCGTTCCGAGTCCTTATGGGACACGGCGAACGTTCGTAGGAGCCGCTTCAGCGTACCGTTAAACCGTTCGCAGAGCCCATTGGTCTGGGGGTGGTAGGGAGAGCTGTACAGCGGTCTGATCCAACACAACTTCCCAAGTTGTCGGGTAAGCTCGGCCTTGAATTGCGGGCCTCGGTCGGTCAGGATCTCGACAATGGTCAAGATATACTTCTTGCCCGTGGGACTAGGCCATTTCAGGGGCCCCACTAGGTCCACGGCGAAACGACTGAAAGGTTCCCCACTATGGGTAGTGGCCTTGGAGTGGCCTTGGACCTGTCTCCCTGCTTCCGTACCTTCTGGCAGACCTAACAAGACCGACAGTAGTCCCGAATGTCCCCCGATAGTACTGGCCAGAAGAAACTCTGGGTTAAGCGACGCAGGGTCTGTCGGTTGGCCAAATGGCCAGCGAGGGGAATATCACGGAGAAGATCACGCCGATACTTCCTCGGTCTTCCATCTGCCGGTGAGGTATATTGGCAGCGCCCACTCCCGCTCCCCCGTGGACCCTGTACAATTTGCCCTGGTCCCGCTCATACCTCACATCTCCCAATCCCCCAGGATCACTTCCAGCCCTCCATCTATAGGGGTCTAAGGTCCGGTCACTGGCAGTTGCCTTAGCGAAATCTGCGGGGCAATCCCACGTCAGGGCAGGGACAAGATCAGCAGGGGGTGGGTATTCGACTCTTAGCGGAACCTCGGCAGGTGGAGCGGCAGCATGCTCTCTAGTCTGGTGGCGAGCGGTGACCGGATGAGCTTCAGCAGGGGTCTCTGTGCCAAAAGCGGAGACCAGGACTCCCAGATCATTTCCAAGGAGAACCTCAGCCGGCGAGTTCTACATTATTTCAATTTCAACATCCCTGGGCCCGGCCCCTAGGCCAGATGACCCTTGCGGTAGGAATCGGGTAGACGTGGCCTCCCGCTACCCTTACGGCCACAGACGGCCCGGTCTTGGCCCAATCTGGTACCAGTTGGGGTTGGACTATGGCGAATTTCGGCCCAGTGTCCCGTAATCCTCGGTCCCGACGGCTGTCAATGTGGACAACATGTCGGCGATTGTCCAGGGTGGCAGCCTGGAGAGGGTTAACTTTTGTGAAAGACCCCAATGTCCTCCATCTTCGGTTGTAAAATTCCTCCACGAAGAGGCGTTATCACTAAGGTGGGTCCTGTAAGGGAGTAGGCAGAGGCTCGGCCATAGGGAGCGGTGGTTCGGTTTGAAGTGCCCCGAGGGGGTTGGCTAGTCTGGGGCCTTGGTGGATTCCGGGGGGGCAAAGAATGCAGATGTGCCCGGTTTGGTTGCAGCCATAACGGCGTGGGCCAGACCGCTTTGGGTGGGAAGGTGTGGGTGGTCTGAGGCATTCTCGGGTGACCGGAGTGGGCACCGCTGGTTTTGGACGAGGCGCAGGTGGAGTGGCGGGCTTGGTTAGCCTCCTGTTGTCCAGGTACTCATCTGCCCGGTGACTAGCGTGGGCTAAGGTTAGGGGGTGTCTGTCCCGGACCCAATGTCTAACATCCCCCAGTAGTCCATTGTCAAACTGTTCCAGTAACAGCAGTTGCAACAGTTGCTCCAGCTTGATGATCTGATAACCTCGGACCCAGCTGCGGACAGCGTGTTGTAACCGATGTCCCCTTTCAGTGAAGGTGTCCTGGGGTTTCTTCTTGAGTGCCCGGAACGTTAACCGGTACGCCTCTGGTGTGAGAGCGTAGCGGGCCAGCAAGTGTTCCTTAACATAATCGTAATTCAAGCAGTAGCTGTCGGGTACGTTCCTGAATGCGTCTGCCTGCTGGTCAAAATGGGGACCCAGTTAACTGCTGCTCAAAATGGGGACCCGGTCTTGGTCTGCCACACTGTGGATGGTGCGCAAGTGTTCAAAGTTGTGAAGAAAGCTGTCAATGTTGCCATCCGCCTCTGAGAAAGTTTTCAAAGCAGCGTAGGGAATTTTGTTTTGTCTGGTTGCTGGAGAAGGCGGGAGGTAATTTTCTTTCGGACCGAGCCCTCGGTTGATGACCGGGAGCGGCTAAGCCGCAGTTGGATGGCATCGTCCAGGGCCTTGGAAATCTGTTCAGGGGTGGGAGCGCTGCCGAACAGAGCCAAACGCCACTCCACAAATCCATAAATCCGAACGGTATAGGGGTCTCCGTACGGCGTTAAGCGGGCCTGGCGTTTTAGGGGCCGATGAGCTGCTCTGTTCCTCCAACTCCTCCCGTGAAGCGAAGTTTGCTTCTGGCGGAGCGGTGTTCCCTTCAAGTCTAGCGGAGTGCGCATCGAGCGAAGTGGGGTGCGCATCTGCTTTGTCAAGGGCCATAATCTCCAACAGTTACTCTCTGATCTTGGAGCCAACGATACCTCCCCGAGCGACAAGCAGGCTTTGGAGAGCTGGCTTCCGGCGGTCCCTTACATCCATCTGGCCGAACAGGGACGTCTCTGAAAAAGATGGGGTCCCGGTTGGTGGTGGTTTGGCCTTTCTTCGCAATAAGGAAAGATCCCACCGCTGGCAACCAGTTGCGGCGGAGCGGTTCTGCCTGGGCCTCCTCGTGCAGAGCGATGCATCTCAGCCAACGGTCCCCTTTTCCGGTCTTCCAGCGTTCTGCCGAGGCGGGTATTAGAGCTCAAAGACGATCCTTCCCCGATATCCCAAACCACGAGTTTGAACTTCGTGTAGGGAGAATGAATGAATGCTTTATTGAACACAGCTCAGTATATACAGCAAACGCTGGCAGGAATCCCTGCCCCTTTCACCCCCACCAGACAGTCTGGCACCTGGTTTTCCCCACCCACAACAAAACTCTACAACACCACAGCAATGGGCACAGTATGAAATCTAGAGACATGAAAGACTACAAGTTCACGTGACCCTAAACAAACCATGTAGAATGCCTGTCTACATAACGGCTGCTAAACATATACAGCTTTACAAAGGGTAGAAGGGGAAGACCACATAACGAGGGGAGAAAACTGGAACTTTGAGTTGTGTCTTTATGGATTCAATCAATGCTTGTTCAATGCCTTAAACTTTTTATATTTATTTTTTTTAGCACGACAACAAGAAATCCGCCTTTGTAGGAAATCTTCCATACGGTAAGATCTCTGCCCATTGCCCTAATGATTCCAGTTCACTTTTTAAATGCCGCGTTTCAGTGATGATGCCAACAAACGGGCTGCACTCCTGCTGTTGTTTTTTCTCTTAATATGCAACAAGCTTTATTGCAAGAAGTACAAATTTTCAAAGATAGACTGACTTTGTGAGTCTGCTGCTTGTAGTCAAGTTTGTTTGATATTAAGAATCAAAATGGTGGAAATGCAGTGTGTCTGTTTGTATTTGGTTAGTGTGGGGAGGACCAAATCCCTGGAGGAATGCACCCACGGCTGGTGGATGATGGGAGACCGTCTGGAGCAGTAATAGTCTCACGTAGGTTGCAGTGACCATGTATCAATAATGGGAATGTTACACTCATTGGCCACTTTATGAGGTAGACCTTGCTAGTGCCAAAAAAATCTCCCCCACACCACGACACCACCACCGGCCTAAACCGTTGATACGAGGCAGGACAGATCCATGCTTTCATGTGGTTTCCCCCAAATAGTTACCCTACCATCTGAATGTCACAGCAACCATTCTGCCCATTCTCCTCTGACATCAACAAGCTATTTTTGTCCACACAGCTGCCGCTTGGTACTTTCTCTTTTTCGGACCATTCTCTGTATCTAGAGATGGTTGTGCGTACAAATCCCAGTAGATCAGCAATTTTTTAAATAATCAAACCAGCCCATCTGGCACCAACAACCGTGCCATGTTCAAGGTCACTTAAATCCCTTTCTTCCCCCATTCTCATGATTGGTTTGAACTTCAGCAAGTCATCTTTGCCACATTTACATGCCTAAATGCACTGCGTTGCTGCCATGTGATTGGTTGATAAGCAATGTGTGTATTACAAATTGCTAATCGGGCAATTACATGGCAGCAACTGCTAATCAAGCAATTGAACAGGTGTACCTAATATAGTGGCCGGTGAGTGTAGATTTACAATAACCACTATAGAACCAGCAGCGAAGTACATCATGCAGTCCCACCCCCCCCCAGTGGTATGCCTCCTTCCTGCCCCCCAGTGGTGTGCCTTCCCAACCCTCCACCCAGTGGTGTGCCTTCATATCCCCCCTTCTTTAGTAGTGTGCTGCCTACTTGACCTGCCCCCCACAGTGGTGCGTCTTCCTCCTGACCTGCTTTATGGTGTACCCTCCTGACCTCCCCACTTGTGTGCTTTCCTGACCCCCCTTCCTCAGATGTATGCCTCCTTCCTGACCCCCCTTCAGTAGCATTCATTCCTGATCTTACCCTCAGTGGTGTACCCCCTTGACACCCCCCATCCCAGTGGTGTGCCTTCCTGACCTCCCCCCATCCCAGTGGTGTGCTTTCCTGACCTCTCCCTCCTCAGTGGCCTGCTTTCTTCTTGTGTGCCTTCTCCTTCCTGCCCCCCCCCCCTCCAATGGTGTTCTTTCCTTTCCCCTACCAGTGGTGCATCCTCCTGATCATTCCTCAGTGGTGTGCCTTCTTGACCCCTCGCCCCCCATCCCATTGCTGTGCGCCTTACTTATCAGCCCTCAGTGGTGTGCCTTTTTGACATCTCCCCCCCCCCCCCCCCCCCCCCCCCCCCCCCCCCCCCCCCCCCCCCAGCGCCCCCCCCCCCCCCCCCCCCCCCCCCCCCCCAGGTGGTGTGCTCTCCTGGCCCACTTTTTTCAGTAGTGTGCTGCCTACCTGACCCGCCTAGTGGTGTACCCTCCTGACCTCCCCACTTGTGTGCCTTCCTTACCCCCCTCCCTCAGTTGTATGCCTCCTTCCTGATCCCCCCTCAGTGGTGTGCCTCCTTCCTGTCCCGTCTACCCCCAGTGGACTCCTTTTAGCGGTGTACCCTCTTCGTCCCAGTGGTGTTTCTTTCCTCACCCCCCCATTGGTGTCCCTTCCTCACATCATCCCCCCCCTCCCCTAGTGGGGTGCCTTCCTAACCCCCTCCTCCCATCCCAGTGGTGTGCTGTCCTGGCCCCCCCATCCCAGTGTTGTGCCTCCCTGTCTCTCCCCCCGCGTCCCAGTGGTGTACCTTCTTGACACCCTCTTCTTCCTTAGTGTTCCTCCTACCTGACCTGCTCCCCACAGTGGTGTGCCTTCCTCTTGACCCGCCTGGTGGTGTACCCTCCTGACCCCCCCCCCCCCTTCCCCAGTGGTGTACCTTCTTGACCCCTTTAGTTGTGAGCCTTCCTAACCTCTTTCTCAGTGGTGTGCAGTTTTCCTGGCCCCCCAATGGTTTCCATCCTGTCCTCCCCCAGTGGTGTTCCTTAACCCTACCAGTGGCTTCCTGACCCCCCCCACCCCCAGCAGTGATGTGCCTGCTTAACATCATCTTCCCCCCCCCCCCCCCCCCCCCAGTGGTGTGCTTTCCTGCCCCCCTCCCATCCTAGTGTTGTGCCTCCCTGTCTCCCCCCCCCCCCCCCCCCCCCCCTTGCGCGTCCCAGTGGTGTGCCTTCTTGACACCCTCTTCTTCCTTAGTGTTCCTCCTACCTGACCTGCCCCCCACAGTGGTGTGCCTTCCTCTTGACCCGCCTGGTGGTGTACCCTCCTGACCCCCCCCCCCCCCTTCCTCAGTTGTATGCCTCCTTACTGCCCCCTCATCCAGTAGTGTACTCTCTTGATCCCCCCATCCCCAGTGGCCTGCCTTCTTACTGACCCCCTAGTGATGTGCCTTCCTGAACCTCTCCCCAGTGGTGTACCTTCCTGACCCCTTTAGGTGTGTGCCTTCCTAACCTCTTTCTCAGTGGTGTGCAGTTTTCCTGGCCCCCCAATGGTTTCCATCCTGTCCTCCCCCCGTGGTGTTCCTTAACCCTACCAGTGGCTTCCTGACCCCCCCCCCACCCCCAGCAGTGATGTGCCTGCTTAACATCATTCCCCCCCCCCCCTATCCCCAGTGATATCCTTTCCTACTGCACCCAATGGTTTGCTTTCCTAACACCCCCAGTGGTGTACCCTTCTGACCCTCCAAGTGGTATGCCTTCCTAAGCACCCATCTCAGTGGATTTCCCTCTTTCCTGACCACCTCATCTTAGTGGATGTGCCTCTTTCCTGCTCCCCCCCCCCCCCCCCCCCCCCCCCCCCCCCCGTGGTGTACCCTCTTGACCCCCGTAGTTGTGTGTTCGTGTGCCTCCTTCCTGCCAACTCCCCCCCCCCCCCCCCCCCCCCCCCCCCCCCCTGTGTCCCTCAGTGGTGTTCCTTCCTTAACCCAAGCTGTGGTGTGCTTTCCTTTCTCCCTCCTCAGTGTTGTGCCTTCCTGAACTGCAACCCCCCCCCCCTCCCCCAGTGGAGTGCCTTCTTTGCCCCCCTCAGTAGAGTGCCTTTTTCTGACCCTCCAGTGGTGTTCATTTCTACAGCCCCCACGCCAGTGGTGTATCCTTTTTTGATCTGCCCAATGGTATTCCTTCCTGCTCCCCTCCCCCTGTGGTGTGCCTTCCTGACCCCCCCCCCCCCCCCACTGTGTTCCTTCTTGACTTCCCATGTGTTGTTTTTTCCTGACCCCCCCTTCCTCCCAGTTGTGTACCTTCCTGACTTCTCCCCCCCAATCTTAGTGGTGTCTCCTCCTGCATTTTTAGTAAAGAATTCCTTTTATGTTTACTTTTGAACCTCAGTACATGAATGCTATTATCTACCAATATATGATACAGAAACAAATATACAGATTGATAACGTTAATAAAAACTATCACTCCTTGTGGAGGGGATTTTAAAAAAAAAGAAAATGAGCAGGTACATGGAAAAGGAGAACCAAGGTATAATAATAACACGTAAGGGCAAGTAATAAAAACAGTTAAATAAGCAACTGCTACAATGACAGTCAAAGTACATGGGACATAAAGTTCATTCTATAGCATCATGCGCTCCATTAAAATGGCAAATTATTAAAGTGGTATTTTTATAAAAATGACTTTTGACATGCTCTCCTCCTTATCCAATCACAGAATACTTTGCATTCACTGGGAAAAAGCAAAGCACTCTGAATACAGAGCGCAGGGGAGGAAAAATCACCTGTTCCAAATTTGTTTTTCATATTTTGCTGGGAACCCTCTTTGCCTGCAACCTATTAATGACACCCTGCCTCTCCACAAGGTGACCTAGGAACAAAGTGCCATTGTGAGGGTTGAGGCTGGCCCGCAGCTCCCCGATATATAGCTCGCCATATATAGAGTCAGGTAGCGATAGTTTTGCAAGTTTTGATGTTCAGCGAGGCCTAGAAGGGACATATTTGGCACCCTAGTAGGAACAGATCCCATTTTTTTCGTACAGGAACTGATTTGTTTCCAGTATTACAGAATTGCTAAGCGAGTCCCTACGCGGAGAAATATTTCAGACTCTTCTGGCATTAGCTGGCTTGCTCTTAGCTGGCAAATCTCATGTCATTTTATGTATCCTAGATGCTGAAGAAGAAGTTCTCAGGGAACACTTTTCTGAATGTGGAACTGTAGAGGCCGTTCGTATCATCAGAGACCAGAAAACTGGGATTGGGAAAAGGCTTTGGTTATGTGTTATTTCAGGTAAGAATAAAGAGAAATAAAAATGCATATTTTAGGGGCATCCAAACAAAACGGTTTTATCCACAGTCTAAGTAGAAAGGCTTTTCTCCCAGCAGCTGCAGACTGGCCCTCTGTATTGAGACCGCTGCTTCCAAACAGAGAGCAACACCCCAACATCTCCCTCCATCGAGCGTAACCTATAGTTGTGTTCAAAATAATAGCAGTCAGACATCACTAACCTGATCAATCACTGTTTTTGGTAGAAATGATATTTCTACATGGCAAATCATTTACTAGCAAGTGTAGTAGAGTAATAGAAATCCAACAGACCCAACAGTCATGACATGCATGCTGCTGATTCTGTGTAATTGAATCACTAATTGAAAGGGGCATGTTCAAAATAATAGCAGTGTGGAGTTCTATTCGTGAGGTCATTCATTCTTTGAAAAACAGGTGGCAATTATTGCCCTTATTTAAGGAAGGAAGGCAGCAAATGTTGTACATGCTGGTTACAGTGCATTTCTCTCTGAAATTCTGAGGAAAGTGGGTCGTTCCAGACATTGTTCAGAAGAACAGCGTACCTTGATTAAAAATTTGATTGGAGGGGGGAAAACATATAAAGAAGTGCAGAAAATGATAGGCCGCTCAGCTAGAATGATCGCAAATGCTTTAAAATGGCAACCAAAACCTGGAAGAAACGTGGAAGAAAGCGAAAAACTACCATTCGAATGGATAGAAGAATAGTCAAAATGGCAAGGACTCGGCCAACAATCGGCTCCAGGAAGATGAAAGAAGGTGTAAAGTTCCCTGTGAGTACTGTTACAATTAGAAGCCGAAGAGGTTACAATTTCCCAAAGAGCACATTGACCGGCCTGAAGAGAAATGGCGCAACATTTTGTGGACGGATGAAAGTAAGATTGTTCTTTTTGGGTCTAGTGCTTGGAGACAGTTTGTCAGACGACCCCCAAACACTGAATTCAAGCCACAGTACACTGTGAAGACAGTGAAGCATGGTGGTGCAAGCATCATGATATGGGGATGTTTCTCATACTACCGTGTGGGCCTATTTATCGCATACCAGGGATCATGGATCAGTTTGAATACATCAGAATACTTGAAGAGGTCATGCTGCCTTATGCTGAAGAGGAAATGCCCTTGAAATGGGTGTTCCAACAAGACAACGACCCCAAAACACACCAGTAAACGTGCAACATCTCAGTTCCAGACCGACAAAATTGACGTTATGGAGTGGCCAGCCCAATCCCCGGATCTTAATCCAATAGAAAACTTGTGGGGTGACATCAAAAATGCAGTTTCTGAGGCAAAACCAAGAAATGGAGAAGAACTGTGGAATGTAGTCCAATCATCCTGGGCTGGAATACCTGTTCACAGGTGCCAGAAATTGGTTGACTCCATGCAACACAGATGTACAGCAGTTCTCAGAAACAGTGCTTATACAACTAAATGTTCATTAAGTGATTCAAAGGAAAGCAAAATCTTCAAACATTTTTCAGTTTATATAGTGAATGTTTGAGGTTTTTAAAGACGAATACAAACACTGCGATTTATTGAACAGTCTAATATTCACTTTTTTTTTAGAGGAACAGCACAAATTTGATATATTTTTCTTCACATTTTGATTTGGAATAGAATGTGTTTATTCACTTTTTTGAGCTTTATTCACTTTTTTCAACACACTGCTATTATTTTGAACACAACTGTATATAGTTAATGAATCAGCCAAACTCATACTTCACTGTTTATTGAACTCCAATGCAGCTGGTAGTGTGTGGATCTTTGCAGCAAGACCACTGATTCCCCCACAGAGAGCAGGAGTTCTTCTCTTCAGGATGCTTTTCTACTCAGACTGTGGCTGTAAGACTTAAATTGTCTGACTCCACACATTCCAGGTACATCAAAATGAAAGCTGTGCAATCAGTTGAATTCATTTAGGATTTCACATGTGAAATTTAAATGAAGTCCTGCTAGTACACTTCAGGGTGGTGCCTTTTGCAAGAATAGTTGTGTAAAAATGTTTAATATAAGTGCCTTATACCCTTTAAAAATCCAGTAATACACTCTCGCCCTGTTCTGGGCATGCTTAGTTGCTATCCATTTTTCGCACTGTGGTGGAAATCAGAGCCATTAGAGGCCAAGCAACTGACAGCCTAAAGATTTATTGCTGCTCTGGGCTTCTGCTCATTGAGAAGAAATAATGCCGGAAGTAATTTATAGCACACACAATTTCTAATTTTGGTAGCATAATTATGAATGTGGAATGTGGGTTCCTTGCTAAAGAACATTATGTTATTGTTATGGGTAAAGTTCCACTCTAAGTCTCCCTGGATTCTAGAGGTTTGATGTAGTTATGTTAGGTAGAATGGCCAATCTGGGATGTACAGAAAACAAGAGACTGTGACTGTTGCGTTAAAGCCGATCTCCAGGTTTTCTGTGTGACTTTAAATAGTTTGTTTCAAAGTCCTGCCTTGATTGTAAGCACTGATGTGTGTGACATTATCAGCTTGCCTCAGCCAATCAGGGGAAGTTTAGTATTCATTCACAGAATACAAAGCTGCCTATAAATGGCTGAGTGCAACTCGTACCAACTCTGCATTGTGGCAGGTGTCAGACAGGAAGTCTCTGAATTCCAGCTACCTAGAATCCAGCACTGTATGGAGTTTAAACTACATGCTGTACATAAAGAGCCAATCCAGTACTTAGTGAAGGCAAGTTTGTTGGGACCAACCTGGTCCAAACTTATGCTGGCCATACATGGTTTGAATTTGGAATGATTTGTCGTTAGAAAAATTAAAAAACGTGGTTTATTTGGTAATCCGATGGTGCCATCAATGATTTTGAAAATTGGCTAACCGAGTCATAAAGTTGACCTCATATAACAGGTGAAAGTTCTGTTCCTTCCAGGTCACGGCTCATGCGCATCTTCTTTTTGGAAAAACCATTGGACGATGTGACCATCATTGAGTTTTAAATTGGTTGTTTATCACGAATTGTTCAATGTGCCTGATCACCAAAAAGGGGAGGAACCATGAAAATTTGCCGGTGCCATTGGTCCACTAATAGAGTGAAAATTGGCTGATTTTGTGTTAGGTGTGATTTTTGGATGTAAAATCGTTGAATTATGAGCTGGGTGGCCTAAGGCTTTGATGTTTGGCCCTAATGTGTATAGATGTATCTGAATGATTCATTGGGCATAAAAATAAAAAACTCCAAAAATTTTGGATCAGGTTTTGGGCAAAATGGAACCAGAATCATATGGGTTTTGTTCTTGGGTATCACTGTGTACTTTTCCCTTCTCCAAGTATATCTAAAGCCTAAGTGTTTACACATTTAAGACCACCTTTTAAATAGTAGTAGGAAAGATTGATTACTTTGGGTGTGTGTACTGTTTGTGGTAGATTTTCTTTCACTTCCTCTCTTGTAGACATCGGAGAAGAAATACTTCCCAAGTGAGGGAAATGCAATCTTGGTTGCCACCACAACGCAAGTGCTCTTGCTGGGAGATTTGATTGTGCTTTTTTTTTTTGTTGTTGTTCCTGGTTTTAAAGCTCTACAGTTTTTTGATTTATTATTCAATTCACTCCTAGCGACTAGGCATCAGACCGAGGGTTGATTTGCTAAAGGCAACAAGACTGTGTGCGCTTTTTGAGTAAAGTTGCTCCAGATCTTTGTAGATGATTGGTAGGGAGTCGAGCTTCTCTCTCTTCCCATTTACTAACCCAAATTAGTTTGTGACTGGGTATTCTTTGTAAAGTCACGCGTTACCTCATTTACTGAGCTCCGGAGCAACTTCCCTTGCAAAGTGCACTGGCTATTTGCCTTTAGTAAAGCAGCCCCAAAGTGACTACCCCTTAATAGTGACAGCGATGGCAATAAAAATGAGAAGGGGTTCTAGGCAATCCCCCTCTCTATACCAAACTGTTTGCTTTAAGATGCACTCTAAAGCTGATCTTCTGTTTTTTTGTGTTTTAATAGTTCATTTGGAGTAAGCTGCTCTAAACAAACAATTTTTTTTTACCAAGTGCTGCACTGGCTTTAGGCACTGTAGGTACTGCTTCTGTCCATTACACAGTCCTGGGCTTCAGCTACGAATGAATATAAAGTTTCTTCTGATTAACCGAGTCGATGTGATGATCTCTGACTTAGCCGTTCATAGGCAGCCTTGAATTCTGTGAATGAATACAAAGCTTCCTCTGATTGGCTGAGTGCTGCTCAGACTAGTTCTTATTTTGTTGTAGGTGTGAAGGGGGGGAAAGAGTCTGTCTCACAGCTGAACTCCAGGACTGTGTAACGGATGTTGGGTACATGCTTAGAGTCAGCACGGCACTCAGTGAAGGGATGAGTTTCTTTTGGACCAGCTTGGTTCAAACAAACTATTTGAAGTCACAGGACACATGGAGAGCTGCGTTCTGTTCAAATCAGCAGCCCGATAGTGACACGTTCAAGCCACCCTAGCAAGTACTTAACGTAGAACTAAACCCCAAGGCCTCTGTCCATGTGCCTCCACCTTCAGCAATGTGACGCTTATAGCGTTCCCTGGCCAGTCATCATGTCCCGGGTAGCAGTTTGTTGGTCTCTTAATTGCCTCCTGTGAGGGATGACATCATTCTCCGCCAGCCAATCATTCTAGTACAACTGAAGAGTATGCTGAAGCTATCTGTGTGTGCAGCTCAGGCTGTATTTGGTCGAAAATGGAGCAAACAGATAGGTTTGTATTATGGAAGAGAAGACATAGAGCGCATCTCTTCTGCCATAGAAATTTGCTTGCTCCATTTTACCAAAAGGTTGGTGTATTTCCACTTTACCTTGCCTGCTGAACTGCTCCATACTTGAGAAATCTTTTGCTGATCTGCACAGTGATGACCAGTGAGTGGCAACTACAAATGTGTTGGGTTCCCTTTGAACTTCAGAAGATTTCTCAGGATTGGAGTAGAGTTCAGCTTGGTGGCCGGTGGCCAAGGTTATTAGTGACTCCTTTACAGGCATGTCTTTATTTGAATGGTGTATGCTTGTCATCTTAGGATAGGAAGCCTTAGGATTACAGAACACCTTCCCTTAGCTCTCATCTGGCCTGCTTGTCCAGTTTCAAGCTGATCCTGCAAAGGGCATTGTCATATGTTGTGGATCTGACTTGCGTGACATCAAATCTGTGTGTCCAAACATCATCTGACTTGTACGATATCAAATGTGTCCACGATCAGCTTGAAACTGGACAAGTGGGTCAGGTGATGTCTGGAAATGCACACAAGTTGTTGATCAGCAGTCCTAAGCTATTTTGTCCCAAAGTTTGGGGTATAGACTGTGCCTCAAGTTCCAGCAGCGGTGTAAACGCACATATTGCAATACAAACATGTCGAGATGAACAGACCCGTCACTGATTTTTCCTTAGTCAAATGTATATGCATTGTTCCACCTCCGGCGATCAGGCTGAACACTTTTGCTCTGTAATAATCAAATTTGTGGAATGTTTTCTTTGACAGATGATATAATAAGGTGTTTGTATGTGACAATGAGCTCCTTTTTACATGTAAATTCCAACAAAAAGGTATTTTCTTTTACCCTTTTCTTGTCAGGGTACAGATGCAGTGCAATTGGCCCTGAAGCTGAATAATTCTGACCTGATGGGGAGGAAAATTCGAGTGAAGCGCTGCTTGCCCAGTGGAGCACAAAACACACAGAAGGAAATGGCCTTCAAGCCAAAGCTGCAGTCACAGAAACCTGGAAAATTAAAGAAGTCGTCCAGCTTTGTGGGAGAAACTGCTGATGTGACAAAGAGCAAAAAAAAAGCCCAAAACTAAGAACAAATTAAAGTGATTGATTGTGCTCTAATACAGTAATTTTAAGAGATGTAACCCCCCCCCCCAGGACATTCTCAGCGCTCCTCTATATGTTACAGCCAGAAGTAAACTCACTGGGCAAGAAGCAATGTACAGCCGGAATTGTTAATGTTTGTCCAAATAACATCAATAAAAGTGTTATTCATTTATAGAAAATGTTGAATCATTTCTTTTGGAATTCAAGTAATAAGCACCTTATGTATATTTGCCTGTTTTTGAGCAGGTTTCAGTGATGGTCACATGACTTTTACCATCAGAGTCTCTCTTCTGTGTTCAGTAAATCACCTCCTATGGAGTTCTGTCTGCTGGAGAGTGCCAAATTTGGTGCTGCAGTGAAATCAATCAGCTTTCAGGTTTTTATTGCCAATGCTTAGCCCCTCGACACTGATGTGACACACATTTGTGCCCTCACGGAACTGGGCTTTTTTCTGTGGGGCTGCATATTTGTGTACTTGTCTTTGTGCTGTGAGTGCGCTGCACTGTGTGCTCCCAACACAAAGAGTGTGTTGTCACTGAGAGTCCCAGCTCCTGTTCTAACAATTAGGATCTGGGACTCCTGATTCTGGGTCACATGATTGTTGTGCTAGCCTCTGAATGGTTATCAGAGCGATCAGTCACTGTGCAGCCTGGCCCCCTTGTTTTTTTTTTTCTCTCTTTATGAATGGAGAAGAGAGATACATTGTATCTCTTACTCTTGACAGAGAGATAGAAATCCAAAATCAAGATAAATACATTACCAAAAAATAATGAAAAAATACCTAGGTGAAGGTTTGATTTGATTCAGTCCCAGGGCTAGTCTTTGGGTTAAGGACAGGGTCCTTAACCCAAATAATTTGTCCAAAACTCTAAATAATTTGAGTCAGTATCATTGACAGTGTGTTTTTTGGTCTGCCCCCCCCAAAAAACAAAGATTAAATAAAGAAAAAACAAAATGTGTGTTTGTTTCTGTGCTACGATTGTTAAGAGTTTGTGAAGTTATTTTGGCTTGTTAGGTTATGGTAGTAACAAGAAACATGCGGCTACCATCAAATAAGTTCAGAAAACCAAATTTGTTTTGGTGTTATTGTTTTGGGTCAGTTTTCCTTTGATAATAAAAAACTCAGGAGATGTCCATTACCATTTACTATCAAATGAAAGCCTATTTTGTTTGGCCAAAAATGTGGTCTAACTCACCAGGATGTACAAAGTAGTTGTGATGATTATGTACGGTTTTACTAACATGTCAATGTAGCACAATTGTGCTTAGGTATTTAGATTTGTTTTCCCCTTAGGTGTGAAGGGGTTCTAGGATAAGTTTACCTTTGGGAACATGCATGTTTTTGATGTTGCAGCAAAGCCTGACACCTTTTGTGGAAGTTAATTGAAGTTTCTTGTCAGTATATCTGCTTGCTGTATGGGATGTATGGGAGCAAACAGATATTCTGATGGCATGAGTGATCATTTGATTGCTGGTGCAATGTTTTCTAGGCTTCTTTGTCTAAAAATCTTAAATGGCCCTTTTTTTGCCGGTCAGAAAAATGTGCTTTTCTCATTTTTATTCAAAAGGTCAACTTTGAATCTGGTTGTAGAATATAATTAATGTAGCTTAAAACAGACGCCTGTCTTCTGTAATATTTGTAAGTCCCCCAAAGTCACTTAGAAATTTGGCATTAGCTAGTTAACAATGAACCATGCGTGTGAATGGCTTTGGAGCGGGTGTCCAAATGTCCTCATGGTATTTCATGGCTAAGAGGTCAGCAGGTCATAGGCGTTTCTTCTTAAAATGTATCTCTTGGAATGGAGTAAGGAGTTAAGCAATATGTCTTTTCTCCAGAAACTCATTTCTAGTTAACTAAATATATGAAATAACCATCTAACTAGATTAAGTAATTAGTTAGGGATAGTCTAGTCTCCATTCTTGTTGATTATGTGTATGCTTGTATGTGTTAACTGGCTTTTAATTGAAGGTTGAACCTGTTTGAAAAAGTATATAAGATGCTCTCATTGTTTTTAGACACACACACCTCACTCATACACACTGAAGGTGACACACACATAGAGACATTTGTGATTTCTAAGGCCTTTAAGCTTTGATACTTATGCCTGTTGTCTTCCCTGACAAGAATGAAATACTTTTCATTGACTATTTTACACTAGAATGGGCAAAAAGGTTGATATTTTGCCAAAGCTTATTTCATATGTCTGATCTACAACTTTTGTTATATTTTGCTACAACTGATCTGTATTTCATTTGAGCTTTTGTTTTCATTTTATGTTGTTGGTAAGTGTGAATCAAATAAAAAAAAAAAAAAAAAAAAAAAAAAATCACACTGTCTTAATTCAGCGTGGCATTAGAACACTTTACCTGAAATGTCTAAGGAGGACACTTAAATATTGTGACACTTATGTTATTGAACACTGATGTAGCTGTGCACGGAAACCAAAGTATGACTTAAGTGTGTTCAACTAATCACCTTCTGAGTGCTGCAGTTTTAGTAAATCTAGTTTGATGTACCATAGCCCACAGTTAAGTGTCTGGTCAGTTTGGGGCTTGCATTTTTATGGTCCATTCATGACAGAAATTGTACAGTCAGCATGTCATTTCCAGATCTTCAAGGGTCTACTTAAACAAACAATTCATATAAACATCAATGTAGTGCAAGGGTCTTCACTTTTGGATGCAGATATGGATCTGCCAATTGGCTTGGATACTGCAAGGTCAGCTTTGCTGCACGTATAAGTCATCCCTTTAGGTATGGTGTTTGTGTGGGCCATACATTGTTCCTAGTTTACAGTATTCTGCAATGTTTGTTGGTTGACAATTATTTTGGAGGGGTTCAGTATCTCTTAAAGGTCCAAAGCTATGGTGGGGACTGAATTGTTGCTTTCTCTGGCAAGTCTCTATATGGAGAGGTGGGAGCAGCATTTCTGGATATTTGAAACAGTATTGTGACCAGGTTTGGTGTGCTGGAACAATCTCCTCTTTTATTTAGAGGCGTTTTGCTAGTTATTGTCAAATTTTTATTATTACATTCCAAATAATTGGAGTCCCTCAGTATGTTCCAAAATTGCATAAAGTTTTATTGTTTTGACATTATCCAAGGCTACTTCAGTGGGTAAATGGATTGTGTTTCATAGACATGTCAAATGAACTACACAGTAAAAGGAAGATACACAGGGTGTGATGAAGGAAGAAGCAATAAGAAGAGCTTGAGAGATATTCTAACTTCTTTAATTAATTTTGGGCTTGAATATTTGGATATAGTAAAATATCTAGGATTCTGCTGTATAGTATATATTGTGAATCAAAGTAATTATGTAGTGAGATGTTGAAGCTCTAGAAAATGACTACATGACTGTGTCTGATTGGACAAATGTGGCTATTGGTGTATTTGCTATAGAGTTGGTGACCAATTTATATAAGGGAGATAATTTTATTTACATTTTTGCACTACCCAAAAAATGAATAAACTCAAAAAACCAAAGAAATTATGCAGTCCTCAAAAGCTATGGTGGTGGACATGTTGCCAACTCCCAGTGAGTTGTGTGTGTTGGTTCTGTCTGGCCACACAGCAGCTTAGACTTGAATTTGTTGTTTTTATGAGTTTGAGTGAAAGGTTGTGTTAAATTACAAATTGAGGTTCTAATTGAAGTGTTTGGAGAAAATGTCCAAAGTGTATTTGTTAGTTAGCAGCTGCCATGGTGAACAAAATATCTTTTACTATTGCAGGGAATTCAGGAACAGCTCATAGTTGTGTTTTAGCTCCTTTATCTTCTCATCTACAAAAAAAAAAAAAGGAAGGAGAGAGATTGTTAGGCTTCCAGACAAACTGATTTCAGCATAAACAAAATCTATCTCCACCCACAAGTTACTGAAATACAGAAGAGGTGTTTTATCTGGGACATGACCTTTAAAATGAACTCCATCAGGGCTCAACATTTCAACAATGTGGACATGGAATTTCTCATGACAAAGTAGTGAAGCTTGCCCATGTGGAGCTCTTTGGGACGAGTATCTCCCTTGCTGTCATGCTGCTATTTTGCTTTAGTGCTTGGTAAATAATGGAACTGGACAAGTACAGAGATTAGGGATTTTGACAGTTATTGGCTGTCTATATTTACAGTACTGAAAATCACACACTAAGTTACGTAACTAGCATTTCCAGGGGAGTGGCCATAGAATGGTTGTCACTTGACTTTTCTAAATGACAGTTGTTTCAGGAATAGACTGTGTGTTACTTGTAAGGATCAGTGTTCCTTTGATGTTAGTCTGATGTTGTGCAATGGCTTTGACTCAACAGAGATTTGGTCTGTGCTCACATGAAGACTAATTGGCCATTTGATAGTTTAATTTGAAAGTCCTGAAATTTAAAGCTTGAATGTTAGTGGGTATAGTTTAATGTGGGGACAAGTAGTGCCAATTTCCCATAGAGGCAAAAGACAAGGCCTAGGGTGTACAGGAAGTGAAATGCTTTAGGACAGATCAAGCTTCCTCCCCCCCAATACAAAATGTATTGTTGATTCTATCTGTTGTTAGACTGTCACTAATGGCAGTAGTAATATTCTAATGGAGTTGCCCCTGGGGAAAAAAGAAAAGTCTAAACCAAAAGGTCCAGTTTAGTGTCTTTCAGAGCTTTGAGACCTCCTAGGTATAGGTGGTTCTTTACGGTCACGCTCTGTGTTTTTTGATATGGAGTAACTAATTGACTGTTAGTTCACACACCAAAACAACTCCATTTTGCCTGCTTGAAACGGCTTTCCACCCAGACTTATCCAAATGTAGGTGATGAGTGAAATGTGTGACAGCTGTCATAGGGGTTAGTTAGTAGCTTTGGTAAGTGATTGCCTTTCCCTCTTATTCTGGTAAGTGGGTAGTGAAACAATCAGACATATCTCTTGTGAAACTGTAGCTAGTAAACTTCTGATGTCTAAGGTGTCAATGTTTATCAGAAGTTTGGATATCAATGTGTTTTACTTACGTAGAGTTGCCAAGCTGCCTCCTCCCCAGGACTCTTTAGCTTGTTGTCTTTTTCTCACCACCTCTGTTATGGTGTTTGATGTTGTTGTAAACTTGGCAACAGCCTCCAGTTCCTAATAATGGGAATATATATATATAAACAGCTGAAATTGTCTGCTTTGTTAGGTTTCCATAATTCCTGTGTCTGCTTGCCTGTATTAAGCGAACTTAGCTTTGTAGTGCCTTAGCTGAGGTCAAACATCTTGCCTTATCTTGTGTCCATATTGTTTTCAGTCTGTCGAGGGTGGACCACCTCTACTGTGTGTCTTTTATTAGCTCCTAATTGAGCGGTTGTCTGAGCTCCTCCCTGCTCCTGCCAGTATAAATTAAGTCCAGGCCTGGGGACGGCTAGCGAGGGGACAGGCTGGCATTCCTTGCGCAAAGTATGCATTCTGGTGCTAAGTATGAAGCACTTGCGACACAGCACTTGGGCTAAGGCACTGGCAAGCCACACACAATCTTCCTGACAGATAGAATGCCATTCCACAGTAAGACAGGGAAGAGCATTTCCACTCTACCTTTTCTCAATCCTCTGCTCTCCAACATGCCCACGTCAACTCTCTTTGTTGCTATAATGCCCGCTCTTCTCAAACTGGCTCTTGTCTAGCCCTCCTCACCACCCCACTTATCTCATGCTTTATTCTGCTCAACAAAACCAGGCTCCAGAATTCAAAGGCCATCTCCTCAACTGCACTAACCCATAGTGACCCCCCTCTGAACTCAGCTTTCTTTTTGTTCTTTGGGTCTAGACAAGTGAAGTCAAACTTCTTCCTGCTCCTCCACACTTTTGAAGTACACCATGTTCATCTCTTTTCTCCTGCTTGTTTGAGGATCACAATCAGCAACCAACCCTCAGACCCAGTTTCTGCCTTTCTTGTTAACCTTCCACCATAACTACCATACTTCTTCTCCTCAGAGATGCCTGTTATCATCCTCAGTGACTTTAGCAACACACACACACCTCTGCCACCTCTCACATACTCAACCTAACCTCCCCTTTTAACCAAACACAATGAACACAACCCACTCCAATAGCAAAACTCTTGACCTCACAATCACCAACCTATGCACTCCAATGACAACTTTTTCAGCTCAACAATCTCCCAACCCCCTACCTTCCATACCTCACAACCACAAAATCATGACCTATAGAAAGCTACACCATTTCAGCCCTAACCTTCTTCACTCTGCTACCACACACCCCTGTCCAGCCCACATCTGACTACAACTATCATCCTCCACAAACACTCTTGCTCCTCTCAAAACACACAACCACACTCTTAAACATGGCATACAATCAAATCCCAGAAAGACTTTACCCTCTACAAATCCACTCTTCTCAAATACAACTCCAGCCTCCACACTGATAACAAACCTACCACAACACTTTCATGAAGACCCTCTAATCAAATCCTCATCATCAACTCTAGTCAACCCTTCATTCCTTACTCAACCCACCACTGCCAGCACCCACAAACTTACTCACCACACACAAGATTGACACAATTTGTGATGAGATCTTCTTTTGGAAATGAGAGCCAATATCCAGTGTCAAACTTCCTCCCTCAACCCTGATACCACCAAGATAGTTACCCAACTCCTTTCCAATGCCCACTTCAACACCCATCCCCTTACAACCATTACAGCCTCATTCCTGCCATACCACACACTCTATAACCCACAACTTCAACTCGCACTCTTCACAGGCACCTTTCCCTCCCCAATCAAACATGCTCCTGCTACCCCTATTCTCAAAAAACCCACACTAAATCCCCAACCACCTAAATAATTTAAGACCCATCTCCCTGCTCCCATTTGCCTCCAACCTTCTCAAGCACCTTGTTCACAACCTTATCAACTGCTACCTCACCGACAACAGCATTTTTGATTCTCCAACAGTCTACCTTCCACAAACAACATGCCACAGAAACTGACCTACTACTAGTCACTAACTACTAAAATCAATGGTCATTACTGCATACTCAAACTCCTTTACCTTTGCACTGCTTTGACACAGTCAACCACCCACTGCTCCCCAGTAAACTCCACAACTCTGCTCTCTCCTAGTACTCCTCTTCCCTTTCTCAGCACACTTTCAGTGTAACATACAACTCCTACTCCACTCCCTCTTTCTGTTGGGGTACCCCAAGGTTCAATCATTTTCTCACTCTACACCTCCTCCTTGAACCAACCAATAACCTCACGTAGCTTCCTTCCACCTCTATACTGATGACACCCAGATCTCTCTCTCCACTCCCCAACTCACCCCCTCAATCTCCTCACATATCACAAATCTATTAAACAACATATCAGCATGGATGTCACAGCACTTACTTCAACTCAGCCTTTCAAAAACAAACTTGGAACATTTCATCCTCCCCAATCCCCCACTTGCAACTTAACCACTAAGATCAACAGCACAACCATTGGGAGGGGAGGGGCCTAAACATGGCAGCACAGGAGATTGTGGAGTAAGCACTCCCCATTAGCCTCCCCCACTAATTCTCCCTATGAGGTCCCAACAATCAGACTAGCTGTGCAGGAGGGCAGTCAGAGACTCACCTGGTTGGAAAGGGTTCCCAGCAGCAGCATGACAGCTTACCCATAGTGAAGCGACCGGGCTCTTGTACTCCAGAGGAAAGGCAGGGTTGCCAGGCAACAAGAGAAACAGCATGACCACATGGTCAACCGCGGAAGAGCATTGGGAGAAGGAGAAACTAGCCAGCATCCTAGGAAGCCGGTGGAACGCCCACTCCTCATTTCCAACCTGTCTCCAGGGAACTCAAAAAATCTGAAGGACAAGCAAAAGGGACCTAACAGGAATCCCTTGAGAAGAGGACACAGATAAAGGGGGCCAAATAAGAAGGACTGCAAACTGATGCCACTCCATGGTGGAGGGTGAGTGAGAACTGCTGATCTCCTTAGGTACTGGATATTTTTTTGATTGTATCAGAATATATTGAACTTGACACTGAATTCAGATAAGAAAATAGGGGATTCCTAGAGAAGGTCTGAAGGTGTGGAAGAAGAAGAGTTTAATATTTTTGCCTTTCATGTTACTTTTGGGATATTTTTAAAGGGACTGGGCCCAAAAATTCCCAAACTGGCACAATTAAGAAGTATACGTCGCAGGGGAATTTGACTCCAAAAAGATCTCAGGGAGTAAGTTAAAAGAGTGAACTGGAAATAAGTTTGGATAATAACCCAAAATTATCCCTGGGAACAGTTAATAATAAACAACAATCAATGGAAGGAATGGAGGCAAAAGAAACTGAAAAAGACCTACAAATACCAAACAAAAAGGAAATGGCAGAGATGTTTACAAATTTGAAAAATCAATAAAGCAAGAGATGGGGCAGTTGTTGACTAGAGTGGAAGAAAGAGAGGAAAAGGTTAAAAATCATGCCCAAATAATTCCAAAATTTGAGAAATGGATAATAGACACCAGGAATAAACAAAAAAGATTGCTTTATATGATGGAGGATCAAGAAAATAGGAAAGGAAAAATAATCTTAGAATAAAATGAGGCCCAGAGCTGTTACAGGGGGAAGATTTAAAAGAGATAACTGGCAAAATTGTGAACTCCATAATGGATGGATCTGGAGAGGAAACATTTGAAAAATCAAGAGACATAATTGTTAAATTCCATAATTATGGAGACAAAGATGGGATATGGAAAAAGATTAAAGGAAGAACAAATAGGGTAGGGGAAAAAGGGAGGAGGGGAGTTGGATATGGGAGGGGTGTGGAGGGGGGGGGGGGGGTACAGGGAGAGAGGTATTAGAGGTAACACTCTGCAGGATAAGAAGAGATGGAAGAGGAGGAGTAGAAGAAGGAGTAAAGAGGAGTAGGGCAGCATGGAAGAAGTTCAATTTATAACTTATAATGTAAAAGGGCTGTGCTGTCCTGGGAAGAGATTTAGGTTATTTAAAGAACTGCAAAACAGAACATCTTCAGTGGTTTTTTGGCACAAGACACATTTAGAGATGGAGTCAAAGGTTACACTAAAGACTAGATATTTCCCAACATGGTATTATGCAGACTCACCAATTAAAAGAGCAATTGAGGTGGCTATAGGCTTCACAAAGAATATAAGGTTTGAGGTGGATAAGAGAATAACAAATCCAGAGGAAAGGTTCGGGTTTCTGAGGGGTAAATTGCAGGAAATCAAATGTACAATAACCAGTATATATTGCCCAAATAAGAAACCAGAGATATTCTTGAGAAGAGTGCTGAAGAGGCTGATGAACTTTAAAATGGGTCGACTGATAGTGGCCAGAGACTTTAATGTCTGTATGGATCCACGGATGGATACAACTTCTCTAGGGAGAAGGGAGGAGAGCAGGCCCTTTAGTTCACTAAAGAAACTAATGCACAAGTACCAATTAGTGGATATACGGACAATTAGACATATGAAAGATAGAGACTATACTTTTTTCTTACACGCACATGAGACTTATTCTAGATTGGATTACATACTGGTAGAAAATCGATTTATAGAGTACATAGTAGAAGTAAAAAATTGGAGGGAATTCTTTAGCAGATAATGCCCCAGTTGCAATGAAGTCAAGATGGGGCAGAGAGGAGGTTTAGTTTGGTCTTTGATCTGGAAGAAGTGCCTCATTCATCTGCCAATCAAAAGATCAAGATGGAAATTAAACAATTTTTTGAGGAGAATGATGATACAGAGGATGTGTCGGTTGCAACGGTGTGGGAGGCCCATAAGGCCTATATTACAGGACCATTCATTGCAATAGGAGCAAAAAAGAAAGGAGAGAAAAGATTAATGGTCTTCTAACTGAAATATTTGATCATGAACAGGCCCATAAAAGGAAAATATCTAAGGAGATAATGCAGAAAATAGTAAAAAAGAAAGAATTGATGGAGGAGGAAAAAAAGAAGAGCCATTTATAAAGTAATAAGTGAAAGGTATAAATGGGGAGATAGGCCCGTAAAATATTTAATGAGAACGTTAAGGAAAAAGAAAAATAGCAATTATATAGAAAAAATAAATTCCAAGGGAGAATTGGTTCACTCAACCAAAGACATCGCTAGAGTGTTCAAGGAATATTAT